CTACTTAATTAGACTTTTTAATAAATGTTTTCTCCTACAACATCAGGGTGCAGCGCCACATTAAATACGCACTCCAATGATAATAGTTTAAAGTGATTTGAAGCATGTTTTATACATTTTTTTGAGGGGGGAGGGGCAGAGCTTTGTGACGTCATATTTGAGGGGGGGTCTGACTTTTTGTGACGCCGTGTGACGATGGGGGGGGGGGGGGGTCAAAAATCGTCCACAATCGCGTGACGTCATTTATGGACGGCCCCTTTTGCTGCACAGGGCACAAACCTCGAGAACAATGCAAATATTATTCACAGCTAATGCAACGTTATTGGAGGCATATTTCCGTCGCTTGGAGACTACGACCATATCCACAACAAGCGATTTCCTACGTGAATAAATAATCATGCAGCAGATGCCACCCTCTGATGTGTCCTCCTGTGCTAAGCCCAGTGGGCTATGGGGCCGTCCATAAATGACGTCACGCGATTTTGAACGATTTTTGACCCCCCCCCCCCCCATCGTCACAAATAGTCATACTCCCCCCTCAAATATGACGTCACAAAGCTCTGCCCTCCCCCCCCCCCAAAAAAATATATAAAACATGCTTCAAATAACTTTAAACTATGGTAATTGTAGTGCATATTTAATGTGGCGCTGCACTCTGATTTTGTAGGAGAAAAATTTATTTAAAAAGTAGAACGTGTTGTCTATATTTATTTAAAGTTGCACATTTTGATGTGACATCACATTTCTCAACCCCCCCCCCCTCACTCTTTGGTTCTTTCGGTAAAGTCACGTAGATATAAAATAAAATAAATTAAATTAAATCACGACGTTCCTGGCGCAACACAAGCGTCCGTCATCAGGTGGGACAACCACAGCAAGAAACAATTGCTGAAGTGGGCAAAAGGGCTGCTGTAACAAGAGGCTTTATAGGTAAGAGAGGGGGGAGGAGCCAGGGAGGAGAGATAGAGAGGGGGGTGTGGGGTAGGAGGAGCGTAGTGCTGCTCACTAGAGGGGGGAGGAGCCAGGGAGTCAGGAGATAGAGAGGGGGGTGTGGGGTAGGAGGAGCGTAGTGCTGCTCACTAGAGGGGGGAGGAGCCAGGGAGCCAGGAGATAGAGAGGGGGTGTGGGGTAGGAGGAGCGTAGTGCTGCTCACTAGAGGGGGGGAGGAGCCAGGGAGCCAGGAGATAGAGAGGGGGGTGTGGGGTAGGAGGAGCGTAGTGCTGCTCACTAGAGGGGGGGGAGCCAGGGAGTCAGGAGATAGAGAGGGGGGTTGGGGTAGGAAGAGCGTAGTGCTGCTCACTAGAGGGGGGAGGAGCAAGGGAGCCAGGAGATAGAGAGGGGGGTGTGGGGTAGGAGGAGCGTAGTGCTGCTCACTAGAGGGGGGGAGCCAGGGAGCCAGGAGATAGAGAGGGGGGGTGTGGGGTAGGAGGAGCGTAGTGCTGCTCACTAGAGGGGGGAGGAGCCAGGGAGCCAGGAGATAGAGAGGGGGGTGTGGGGTAGGAGGAGCGTAGTGCTGCTCACTAGAGGGGGGAAGAGCCAGGGAGGAGAGATAGAGAGGGGGGTGTGGGGTAGGAGGAGCGTAGTGCTGCTCACTAGAGGGGGGAGGAGCCAGGGAGCCAGGAGATAGAGAGGGGGGTTGGGGTAGGAAGAGCGTAGTGCTGCTCACTAGAGGGGGGAGGAGCAAGGGAGCCAGGAGATAGAGAGGGGGGTGTGGGGTAGGAGGAGCGTAGTGCTGCTCACTAGAGGGGGGAGGAGCCAGGGAGCCAGGAGATAGAGAGGGGGGTGTGGGGTAGGAGGAGCGTAGTGCTGCTCACTAGAGGGGGGGAGGAGCCAGGGAGCCAGGAGATAGAGAGGGGGGTGTGGGGTAGGAGGAGCGTAGTGCTGCTCACTAGAGGGGGGAGGAGCCAGGGAGCCAGGAGATAGAGAGGGGGGTGTGGGGTAGGAGGAGCGTAGTGCTGCTCACTAGAGGGGGGAGGAGCCAGGGAGCCAGGAGATAGAGAGGGGGGTGTGGGGTAGGAGGAGCGTAGTGCTGCTCACTAGAGGGGGGAAGAGCCAGGGAGGAGAGATAGAGAGGGGGGTGTGGGGTAGGAGGAGCGTAGTGCTGCTCACTAGAGGGGGGAGGAGCCAGGGAGACAGGAGATAGAGAGGGGGGTTGGGGTAGGAAGAGCGTAGTGCTGCTCACTAGAGGGGGGAGGAGCAAGGGAGCCAGGAGATAGAGAGGGGGGTGTGGGGTAGGAGGAGCGTAGTGCTGCTCACTAGAGGGGGGAGGAGCCAGGGAGCCAGGAGATAGAGAGGGGGGTGTGGGGTAGGAGGAGCGTAGTGCTGCTCACTAGAGGGGGGAGGAGCCAGGGAGCCAGGAGATAGGGGGGTTGGGTAGGAAGAGCGTAGTGCTGCTCACTAGAGGGGGGGAGGAGCCAGAGAGCCAGGAGATAGAGAGGGGGGTGTGGGGTAGGAGGAGCGTAGTGCTGCTCACTAGAGGGGGGAGGAGCCAGGGAACCAGGAGATAGAGAGGGGGGTGTGGGGTAGGAGGAGTGTAGTGCTGCTCACTAGAGGGGGGAGGAGCCAGGGAGTCAGGAGATAGAGAGGGGGTGTGGGGTAGGAGGAGCGTAGTGCTGCTCACTAGAGGGGGGAGGAGCCAGGGAGTCAGGAGATAGAGAGGGGGGTGTGGGGTAGGAGGAGCGTAGTGCTGCTCACTAGAGGGGGGAGGAGCCAGGGAGTCAGGAGATAGAGAGGGGGGTGTGGGGTAGGAGGAGCGTAGTGCTGCTCACTAGAGGGGGGAGGAGCCAGGGAGTCAGGAGATAGAGAGGGGGGTGTGGGGTAGGAGGAGCGTAGTGCTGCTCACTAGAGGGGGGAGGAGCCAGGGAGTCAGGAGATAGAGAGGGGGGTGTGGGGTAGGAGGAGCGTAGTGCTGCTCACTAGAGGGGGGAGGAGCCAGGGAGTCAGGAGATAGAGAGGGGTGTGTGGGGTAGGAGGAGCGTAGTGCTGCTCACTAGAGGGAATGAGGAGCGAGCGAGCAAGAACAAAATGCCGGGGGGGGGGGGGGGGGAAAGTGAGCGGGGCTGGGAGTGAGAAGCTGAGGAAACTGGAGATGCGGATATGAAGGCAACACCTTAACGCAGTTAAGGTTATACCTGGTTAATAACATCCTTCCAATGATTGCTCAATTGGTATCCATCTTCTCGTCACACATCGTCACAAATGTCTGACCCCCCCCCCCCCTAGGTGCGTGACGTCATTTATGGACGGCCCCTATGATCCCACTCCAAGATATCTCGGGGTAAGCATGGCTAGAAGCCTGGCATTTCAAGCCCACCCACACGAAATACATTTGTGGAAAGACCCAAATCAAGAATGATCCTGCTACAGAAACGACCTGTGGTGCCCCTCCGGTGATGTGCTGTGAACGGAAGCCCTCTCTCACCCATCTACTTAAGCGACGGTCACTGCAGTCCAGCCTGGTTCGATAAGATACCGCTGAAACTCACACGGTTAACCCCGTATTCTTGTACAGGGAAATTTAGTTTTCGGGTACATACTGCGTACAGCCGTTTCAATACCAGCAAATGTTTTTGCCTATTTGTTTGCGTTTCTCCCTTGTGGTGGGACTTTGTATGATGAACGTTGATATTTATCCGGGCATGGGGTGGCCAATAAGGTCTGAATTGGTCTGTAATAAGGTCGGGTACGATAAGGAGTTGACATTCTTTTGCTGGAATCGCTGCTGCTGCTGCTGCTGTCACCACGCTCGAATCGCACCCAGATGCGGAAGAACGCTGGCGAACAGAGATGGACATTGGGGGAGCACTGTTACAAGACAGCGAACGATTGCAATTCTCGTGGTCCCTTGGGTTGCTGTGCAAGACAATCAATTGATTTGAGACTATTGATGGGTGTCTATGTATGCCCATGGTCGTTTGTCATGGTTCTTGTGTTAATGCATGTGATGCATGTGGAACTTCTTCGCACCGTACGTTGCCAACCGTGCCAATCGGAGGACCTTATTACAGCAAAACAAAAGCGGTTAAAAATAAATGAGTTTTCATTTCGGTCTTGGCTCTATAGAACTGGCCCACGTTGCAATGGGGACGGCCTCCCCAGATCGCGGGGGGGGGGGGGGGGTTAGAGGCTGTCCATAAATGACGTCAAGCATCGGGGGGGGGGGGGGGGTCAGACATTTGTGACGATGTGTGACAAGGGGGGAGGGGGTTTGAGAAATGTGACGTCACATAAAAATGCGCAACTTTAAATATAAACACGTTCTACTTAATTAGACTTTTTAATGTTTTCTCCTACAACATCGGAGTGCAGCGCCACATTAAATACGCACTACAATGACAATAGTTTAAGCGATATGAAGCATGTTTTATTTGGGGGGGGGGGGGGCAGAGCTTTGTGAAGTCATATTTGAGGGGGTCTTTTTGTGACGCCGTGTGACGATGGGGGGGGGTCAAAAATCGTCCAAAATCGCGTGACGTGATTTATGAATGGCCCCTTATTTGACCATACTTCACCACGCTGGTCAAGGGGGCGGTTCGAAGGCATAACAAGGTGTCTTGGCGGTTTGTCTACGCTGTTTGCAGTGCTCAACGCATCTCTGATTAAGTAACGGCAACGTGACGTTTACAGCCGCTGTCGACACTCGGACCGGCGCGGTGACGTCACGCGCGACGGACAACGGGCACCCTTTTGTTCCCCCTGAAGTGACGTCATCCACGCTTTTGCGAAGGTGGGGTGACGTCACCGAGGCCTCCGCCGCCAACACCCGGCGCCGCTCGCCTGACGTCATCCGCAACGTTGCCCGTAACGATGAAACAAACATTCGTGTGACGTAATCGTTCACCCGGGGTAACGTCGCCGCCGGATGACGTCACCGCGTCGTTACCGACAGCTGTCATCGCGCGGGTGCGCGCGCGCCCGATGATGTCATCTCCGCCGGCGGCCCGTCCAATCACGGCAGCGGGCCGCGACTGGAGCCGGAAGCCACACCGACCGGTCACGTGGCGCGTGACGTCACCGTTGCCAGCGAACGCGGAAGAAGGCAATGGCGGCGGGAGGCGGCGGCGGTGGAGGAGGAGGCGGCGGGGCGGGAAGCGGCGGCGCCTCGCTCTTGCGATGGCTGGACGTGCTCGAGAAGGAGTTCGACAAGGCGTTCGTGGACGTGGACCTTCTGCTGGGCGAGGTGGACCCGGACCAGGCGGAGATCACGTACGAGGGCCGGCAGAAGATGACGACGCTGAGCGCTTGCTTCGCTCAGCTGTGCCACAAGGCGCAGTCCGTGTTCCAGCTCAACACCAAGCTCGAGGTGGTTGGCGGTGGCGGCGCCCCCCCCCCCCGCCTGCTCGTCTCTTCCCCTCCTCCTCTGCAAGCACGGCATAGCGCCCGCGTGGTTCCCTACTGCCACGGCACCGCGACAGCGCGTGGTGCCGAACTGCTGCTGGCTGTGGCACCACAGCGAGCATGGCCACCCGGGCCAACCGTTTTAGGTTGGCTGGGAATGTAATGCGCACTGCCTCGGTGCAAGAGTCAGCGATTTTCCGCTTTCCCCACCACGTCTTCCCCCTCCCCGACTTCCGTAGGTTGTCATCTTGCAGAGACTAATCGGGGCATGGCTGTCCTCGTGACAACGCGCTGCGAGACTCGGCTTTCCTGGTCCCGCAACTGAGACCTTTTAACAGCCCCCTAATAAGACTGGCCATGCCTAGCCCCCCCTCTCTGGGACGTGCCTTTTCTATCCCTATAGAGACTAGACTTTACTATCTGCCCGCTCACGCAAAGACTTAACATTTCCTACCCACCCACCCTCCAAGAAAGTTTCGTTTCCGAGATACCCACTTGGAGGTTAGCTGCCGCTCGCCTTTTTTAGGCATATTTCCAGTTAATACGTGCATTGTCTTTGGACTGTTCGCCTTTTGGCGTTCTCTGGTCTGATACTGGTGAGACAACGCCATAAAGAATGCCGGTGTATACCAATCCATTTAAAAGATAATGCGTATATTGTCAGACCTTGTTTGCATGTTCACCACATGTCCGTGTGGTTAATGCAGACCTGATTCCTTGCAAAAGGTATCTATTTGGTGTTTGCAAATATTAACAGCTATTTTATTGTTAGTATGTCCGCCCATGTATGCTGACTTAACCCCCACACTGCGTGGTAATCATTGCAGTATAGTATTAAATGCGTTTGCTGGCAGCTTTTGCCACGAGAGTCACTTCGGACTTAACGGGGGTCTATGCCATGGTATTTAGCGAAAGTATATGGCTTCAAATGGGCTTTCAATTCCCAGCAGCGTGGTTGCTCTGGCTTGTCTGGTATGTGTGTGTGTCTTGTCATTGTTACTGTGACCGGCATCGGTCATGGAATAAACTTTGGTTCTTTCAGGCTGGGTTGGAGCGCTGTAGCAGTGGTTCGTGCATTGTGCCATGAACCCAGCCATATTAGTTTGATACCCGCTTTCATCATAAGACCAGTGGCAAGTGAACCGTTCCCCTTTTCTAACTCGCACTGCCCAATCTGATGAAGTATAGACAGAAATGACTGTGACTAAAAATGCATGCAACAGTGGATTGTTTAAGGTCTGTGTACATTACCTTAAATGCTCCATGCCACTGACCATTAATAGGACTTCCTTATAGGAATCTCTGCGTTGTTTTGATACATTTGAGTGCCCGTGTGCAGTGGATGTGTAAGGGCTACTCGGCGTTCAGTCATACTGTGTGAACGAAGTTTGTGCAGTGAGGAATGATTTATTTAAAGGAATAAGCAATCTATCTGATAGGTGCATACCCACACTGCATGTCCCAGGAGATTCGATGTTAGTTTGTAGCTTCGTTAATGAGGAGATTGTACATATTTCAAGAGTCACATAATTACCCACTTAATCATGGTCATTATTTCACTCTCTTAATATTATTTTGACATTACTCGCAAACCTTTTCTTGGATTTATCTTTTTTCGATTCGTCAATATCAATTCCTAAAGCATTGGGTTACAGTACATGATTTTATTGTTCAAATGATATACTAATTTTGCATTGAGGCTAACAGAGTGAACAAAAAAACACAAATGAGATGGGGAAAATGTGTGGCTCTACAATGTTAAAAGTCATAAAATGTGTTACCAAAATGTCTCACGTGGTTATAATTCAATACTACCACCGTTTCTATTTTAACTACTAGAGAGTATTTTAAATGTCTTATAAGCCAACTTAACATGTTTGAGTAACTTGGGCAATGTGGCTCGCCTTCCCTTGGTTGACCCTGCCTTCCAGGTTACCTATGCTGGAGAACCGTGTGTGCTGAGGAGGTGGCCGTTTGGCTATCCATCGGCCGCTTGCGTGCATGAGATAGACTACTACAGTAGTATGTCGAGACATGGGGGTAGGAGTGGAGTTAGCTTGCAGGCTCTGCGAAGAGGGACCCTAGAGGTTTCCGCCAAAGGGTGGATGCTACTACTCGCTGTCCCTGCGTATGCTGCCATGGTTGACTTGATCAAATGTTTGCGCTGCGTCATTAACGTGGTTTTTCTTTGGCGTCATGCAGGCCCAGCTGATTGGGCTGCGCTCTGAACTGAGTGAGGCGATGGCATCCAAGGTGGTGCTGGATAAGGAGCTGAGGGATCAGCTGCTCCAGCTGCATGCGGTGCAGTTACAGCTACATGCCCATTCGGGGCAGAGCGTCGACTCCGGCAACATCAAGGCCAAGCTGGTGAGGCCTGTCACGGGCACACTAAAGGCATCCAGTGCCATTCTCCCTCCACAAGGTCCACGCACTTGTGCACCCTTGCGTCCCTGCCTGCATCCTGCACCTTGCCTTGTATCCCTGCCTGTATCCCTGTTTACACCATGCACCTTACCTTGCCTGCACCCTGCAGCTCGCACACGTCCATGCTTGCACCCTGCATTTCACCATGTATCGCTGCCTAAAGTGTGCAACTCAGTCTGCATCTCTGCCAAAACTCTGCACCTCAATCTGCATCCCTGCTTGTATGTGTCACCTCTCTCGGCATCCCTTCCTACCCTCCATATGCCTACAGGCACCCTGCAGCTTTAACCCTGCAAGTTTTCATCATAAACAGAATTGCACTGTCCAATCCAGGTTTTATTGTGTCCCATGTACGGAATGCATTTCCAGTTTGTTGGAGAAATGTTTAAAGATAGTGAAAAAAAGCACTAAACAAATAGATATTATCTTTTAGTTATGTATCTCGGCTGTGTGCCCCAGGTTGTCCAATATTACTTCAGTCGAGGCCTCATTATTGTGAAAGGAATATTTAGAGTTACGGTCAGTCACTATTATGGCATCACTGCAGTCTCATATTTTAGGGTATAGAAGTGATGCTACAGTGATATCGCTAGTGTGTTCCAGATCTTGACTTAAAATGCTGTTTTTCTCAGTAACAGTTCTTCAAATTCTTGTCGGCCAGCATAATACACAGCTTAGGTACGCAGCTACAAGATAAGAGCTGGAGTTTTTTAGGTTGCAACACCCCTCAATCGAGTCTTTATGAAGATTACAATCTCCTTAACCCTTTCTCGTTCCAATGATGTACGTGTACGTCATAGGTTTTTCTTTTTATTCGGAATATATATTTTTTTATCGGTACCGAGGCTCCCGCAAGGCCATGCAGAAGTGCGCGCTGCACAGTTTGGCCCCAGCTATCATAGAATGCGGTTGTGTCACTGCGGTTCTCTGCGGTAAGCACAACGTCTTTAAAAACAAAGGTGCTATGCCTCTGAATAAAATTAACGCTTAACCGCTTGCTCGTTCCGAGATTCAGCAGTGAACGGGACTCGCCCTGCAACTTCAAGTCATCTAGGAATGGGAAAGGGTTAAGAGGTCTGATTCCTGTTGCTCTTCAAATCGTTTCCATCAGTTGTGCTTTCTACTACACTTGCCCATCTTACACTAGATCTATGCAGAACCCACCAGTGCTTGCGTTTAAACGAATTGCGTCATCCATATGTAGCATAATTGTACTGTGTTGCATGGCATGGTGATAGTGCTTCTTTAATGCATGCCCAATACAATACAGTATCAGCAAGTGCTAAAAATCTAGTGAAAACTTAACAAATACAAATGCATCCTACCCTGCCCATGGCTCATTACAGTTGTTAATTACTTAAGCAAGCTCAGGTGCACAGAAGTGAAATAACATTGGAATTAATCATGCATTCCTCTTTAAAAATGTGCCAAACGTGTTAGTGCCAACCACATACCATGTGGGCATGCTTAAGGAGTCCTATACTGCATGGATTTGCATGGAAATTAGTAACAAGGCCAGCCTCTGTACTCATTTGCAAAAGCTAAAAGCTAGTGCCTGGCAAATTCCACTCTAACGTAACCTGTCTTTCCACTTCAAATGTTATTTTCCCTATGGCAAAAATAGTCTTGTGAAAAATGCACACTGACATTCTGTGTTCCCCTCCCCCTGGCACTTGTAATGGTGATGATATTGATTGAGTTGAAAATGGTGAGGGTGGTGAGTCCTGTGAGCTGTGTCCTCTCTCAATATGCTTCTTCTAACCTTTCTGACACTGTCTTTTCCTAAAGTCTGTCCCCTCTTTGGAGATGATGGTGAGTTCATTTTCACTCTGAATAACTTTCAGCAGTTTCACTAATTGCTCAATGAACGAGAAAACTATTTTTATACCACCAAACCTTGCCAATGTTTTCTACTCTATGCGGTAACCCCTCAGCTGCTACACGGTATAGACACGCGACCTCCAAGATCCCACTATCGTTGCTTTGGAGGTCGCTTGTAGCTTGCTATATATAAGACTAACAATAATAAGAACAAGTGGGATAACAGACATGGGATAATGTTTTACTGTGGTCCTTACCATTTCACAGTGCAATGTCAGCACCTCTGAGCACCATTATTTGTCAATAACATAGATGGGGTGGAGGGGTCTTCCCCCCCTTTAAACCACCCCGCCAATCACAGGCACTGCCCTATCTAAGGGCACCCTCATTTGCTAGCCGCGGTTTTTTCCCCCATGACATTCGCGACCCCTGACTGACCTTTTGGAGGGCACCCACTTCCTGACATCTCTCAACATTCTTGAACTCCTGCACGTGAAGAGCGATAGCCCGTGCTCGAAGTCGGTCATTTGGTAAATGATTGAAAGGCTGTAGGATTGACCAAAAGTCATTATCATGCCCATTATTTACCCCGCAATTGCCTCTGAGTCTCGAGACGTTTTCATGAGGATCCTGCATTGCGATGTTTGGCTGATTCCACTAATGAGTGGTCAGCATGTGGCCGGAAACCGGAGAACCCAATTGAAAGTCCGCGCGTACAAGGGATGACACTCATTGTTCTGCATGCTGCTTCACAAATCCATTGCTGTTTGGCCAATTGGTAGCCCAAGCCTACAGCATCTTCTATAGCCAGGAAATGTCCCATCAAATTACTAATTACACTGTGTAACAAAAAAAATTGGGTAGTAAGTGTTATTTCTTAATTGCTTATGCCTCAAAATGAATTCCCCAAGAAGCTTGCTAGTAAGGAGAAAGCGGCTTGGAACAGCTTTGTAGCAGTGGTTCATGGCATCCTGGGCAACCACAAGGTCAAACTATGTGGAGCTGGTTGAGACTGGTGAAGTACTACGACACAATGGGCTCTTGGATGTCCCTCAAAGTCCATATTCTTGATGCTCATCTTGATAAATTCAAAGATAACATGGGAGCATACTCGGAGGAACAAGGCGAGCACTTCCACCAGGATATACTGCACTTTGAACGCCGCTACCAAGGACAGTATAACGAGAACATGATGGGAGACTACATTTGGGGGCTGATTCTTGAAAAGTTATTTACTGTATATTCGTAAATCTCGAAAAACTACTCGCTTCTAAATCCTTTGTTTTCATATTTTTTATTACTTTAGTATAAATGCATGTTGATTTAGATTCATATGTTGTTTTTTCTGACGTTACATGAACGAAAAGACACAAATTCGCTCGTTTTCTCATTGAAAATAGGTAAATTTCAAAATATCACTGTCCTGGTCACAAAGCAAAGTTTCTGGGGAATAATAGCAATTTTCTATACTGTTTAGGCGTAAGCATTAACGAAATAATACTTACTACCCAGGAACAAAAATTGTCATACATAGCATTATGCTTAACCCTGCTGAGTGTTAAAGGTTTAAAAATAGATCGGGTGGATTCAGTGTGCTTTAGTCATGTGTCCCCAGTCTACATTTTAAGTTATTCCTATGCCCTTGCTTCCTGCTGCAGATTTTTTGTGCATGTTTAGATATAAAAAACAACGTTCAGCTGTGTGTGCATTTGCTTGTGCACAACAAACGTGTAAGTGTGCAATACATTTGCATAGATGTCGAGTGTGGGAGTTTTGCTGACATGCCCCTAGGACAAGCTGTAAAGCAGGATGCATCTTTATTGTCTCCCACTAAGATTCAACTTCGGCATACATGCCGTGTGGAGCCCGAGGCAAAAATTACAGTTTCACCAATTGTTGCTCCATGCCGTAAAACGCACCATTGTTGAACTCCTATCCTTGCGCCCTCACTCCCGCACACAGCTCCACGGTTCAATTTTACTTCAATATTTAAATGATCTTGTTGACTATGAAGAAACTTACCACCTTATATATATATTTTTTATGAGTTTATATGCACCACTGCCAACATAGTCCTGTAATATTTTTTCTTTATTATTTTGAGTGAGTGAAGCTCTTAGTCCAGAAATCAGGGGTAATGAACGTACCACCCGTCAGCCAAAAATCGCCTTCAACTCAATTTCATACAGCGCCCCGCTACGTGGACACCCACCACTTAGAAATGTATTGGAAATTATATTTAATCATTACTGTAATCCTCTTGGTTGCTCTTGATTGGGCACGACAGGGGAATATTTTCTACACTGTTTCTAATTTTAGCAAGCTCAGTCATCTGCAAAGGTGAGCACTCATTGTTTTTTTTTGTTAGACTAACGCTGAGGTGTGTTAATGTGTGGCCCCCACCACAGGTTAAATGAAAGTAGTATTCTGTCCGTAGTAACTCTAAAAGGTTCCTCACCCCTGCCCTAAATCCAAGGCCCTGTACTCGCTAATTATTCACGCCCCATTCTTAACCATTATGTGCATGTATATTAACATTTTCGAGCACCGTACGTAGCTAACTATTTAACATGTAGGCTTTCGCGACCAATATCCATAATAGAGGTTTTTTTGGGTTAGATCGCGTAAATATATAAATGTGTCATTAAAACCCTCCACCACCCGACACAGCCAATTAGTAAGGGTTGTCACATAAACAGAACATGCCAATTCGTCACTAGTACAGCACATCGGTGTGTTGGAGAGCCAAGCCACAACATTTATAATCTTTGGAGAGCCAAGCTTGGCGCTCCAACACACCGATGTGCTGTACTAGTGACGAATTGGCATGTTCTGTTTACGTGACAATCCTTACTAGTTGGCTGTGTCGGTCGGTGGCGGGGTTTAACGACACATTTATATTTTCATGCGATCTAACCCAAAAAACCTCTATTATGGTTTGCTAACCATGCCCAACGCGACTTTTGTGAACGTGCGGTGTCCTGCTAACCGCCGCTCTATCTGATTTCCACCCCCCCCCTCCACCGTGCCCACCAGGAGAAGGAGTTGGAGAGCAACAAGCGTGCGGGCATGAAGGACGCAGTGTGGGAGAGCGAGGCGGTGCTGCTGCGGCGAGAGAATGACGATCTACGGCGCCACCTGGCAGTATTGCAGGGCGAGGTCTACGGCGCTCGCCTCGCCGCCAAGTACCTGGACAAGGAGCTGGCCGGGCGGTACGGAGTCTGTGGGAACTTGGCTTCCTGTCCGTGGTCTCCAGAATTAAGTGGAAAAACTTCATGATAATGATAAGCACCCTGGGATTGGCTGTGTGATGCGGCATAGCGGAGAGAGAATTGGAAGCTCGAGAGAGAGAGAAGAGACAGCGTGTTAGTTTTCGTCTTATTCTTTTTAGCCAGAAGTTGCATTTTGCATGTCGTCAGCTGGTTACATATTTTTGCTCCGTGTAGTTTTTTTTCTGTACATCCTGTGGCTTCTCGAGAATATTTACAACCCACTGCTAAGGCTTTAACTTCTTCATTCTGCCTTGTGAGAGGCGCCTAAAACTCCACACTGTGGATGCTCTCATATTAGTTACTAAAATTACACCTAGAGGTGGCGGCACGGGAGTCGTTGTATGCACGTGGCGACTGTACACGTGTTCTTTTTTGCCTGAATACTTGAAGAATAAAAACGTGCTAATGTCTCCATTGCCACCAATGAGGCAAATTGCCAAGGTGAAGTATGTCGGCTGTTTTTATCAAGGTGAATTCGAAGAACTTGCGCGCCTTTTTGTATGCAGGTGTTCATTATCGTAATACGTCAGTAAATACATGTGTGTGCTTACGCATGTGTGTATTAATGCATGTGTGTATGTCTGTGAATATGTACGGCGCATGCATTTTTATTCTGTATTGTGTTAGTGCATTCGTGCACATTGTTATACGCATGCATCAGTGTACATACCCGTGTTAAGTGATGCTTGTGTGTGCTAATTTGTACGTGTGCGTACATGTGTTGTGCAGCGTGCAACAGATTCAGCTCATGGGTCAGAATCTGAAGGGTTCGGCTCATGATAAGCTGTGGAATCAGCTGGAGGCAGAGATCCATCTGCACCGTCACAAGACGGTCATAAGGGCCTGCCGTGGCCGTGCCAACCCCAAGCACATGCTACCCCAGCCGGCCGGACACGTGGGTTTGCACTGCTCACACACCCGCGCACACCTTGGCTGCATGTTGTGCGCAAATGAACTGTGTGTATGTATTTTTTTTTACTTCTTTCGCACTGTATGTAGCCAACCGTGTTAATTGGAGGTGTGTATGTGTGTGCGAGGGAGCGGGAGTGCAACGGTTAACGTGCTGCGCTACGATTCCGGCTCACGAACAACACCAGTGATGATTATCTGAACTGGTCCTGGGCCTTCTCTATGCTCGGCTCATCCTCAAATGAGTACCTTGTGTGGTGTGCAAACATAGACATCGGGAAGACAAAGGCGGCCATGTGTGGTGCTGGCCACCCCACCCCCTTGTGTACCGTTCCGGCCTTCTTAGGTGCTCGCTAACAGCACTTGCCCCAAAATTATGTTAAGGCTACACGGGGGATCTTTGTCAATCTCTCTCATGTGTTGTTTGAGTGGAAACCAGGTGTGTAGCAGATTACTGCCTTCCCAGAAATTAAATAATTTGTCGCAGTACCAGGAAGCGATTTGTTTAAATTCTATGTTTCTCATTTTTGATGTAGCGTGTGTGTTTTTTATGTCATTTGGCTATGTTTGCATACATTTTTCACATGTAAATAATTCTTACACCCACAATTTTTAAGTTCGTATCAGTTTAATCAATGAATCATTACATGCTTCGTGGAATCACATTACAGGTTGACCTCTTTATTATATTATTATTGTTCTGTGTTTAAAAACAGCATGTGGAACATTGGTCCATTGGCTGGCTCATTGCTATACGCTTCTGATGTCTTGGGTTTTATACGTTGTAATGCATGTGACCAGTACAAATTGGTATCCAAACTTGGAATGGAGTCTTCATCTCGGTCAACTCAGCCTAAACAATGACTGGAGCTGTGGTTAATGCCAGCACTGGGTAAACAAGGGTGGCTAGTCGTGGTGCTGACCCTACCACCCACTTATATGCCATGATAAGCTGAACATTTGCTGACCAAGTCGTAGTAGTTCCAGTTCATGATACTATGCTGGTGAATTGGGGATCATAGTATTTTGTTCCACAACAGTAGCATACTTGTGACAGAGGCATGCTTACAGCACAAGAATGCTTACATGCTACTTAAAGGAAGCCACAACCAAAATAAAACATAGCTGCAACTTTGTAAGCAAATAAACAGATAAGGGTCTGTTTCAACCAAATTTACATTAAATTAACTTAGTTAGGTCAATCAGCCTCTGGGCTCGCTGTACCAATGCATTCCAGCAGCATTTGTCTTAAGCAGCCATACCCAGTACTGCTTTAAACTATCTCAGAGTGCTTGCCAACAAATTATACTGGGTTGCCTGATATTATGGCCAACAGCATTCCATCAAAATGGTAGAGCCAATTTTTATTTCAGTATAGCAGCACTGAAAACAATGTGTGCCATTTTGGATACAGATAATAACGTAATCGCAACGAGAGCCTCATTATCCCGATTGCTTTGCTACTTCATGATGCCGGTGCGTGTGGTTGTAGCTTTGGCAACTCCCTGCAGGATGTTGACCACACCAATGCACCAGGTACTAATTTTAGTTTGAATTGATCTATGGGAGGCTTATTCCAGGTGCAGATACCAATTCAGACCTGTGATGTGCATGGCAAGTAATCAAAGCTGGAGTCCAGCACAAAGAGAAATGTTATGGTCATATGACAGTACGCCATCCTGTAGCTGGGAGCCGGAATTTGAGAACTGAATCAACAGTATTCTTTTATTTACAGAAGCATAGTTCAAAATCTCTGTGGACATGAATCAATATCTTAATAAAACACCACCCACAAAACAAATAGTCTTTGTAGATAGACTCTGCTGCAATCTTCGACATGCATTTAAAGCTCCGTTAATGAGATAAAAATGCTTTAAATTACTTCCAGGATCAATACTGTGATGCTGGAGTGAAATTACTGCAGCAATACCACGGTAAATGCACAAGTGACGATGCAAATACAATTTGGATTTTTTATAGTGTCTAAATGCATCTCAAGACGCTTTACAGACACACTTGCCATATTTTGTAGATGGAGGCAGTCAGTGATAAGTAGAGCAAAAGAGGGAAATATTGAGCCTGGACTTGAACAGCAGAGATGGCTGTGGGAAGAGTATTCCACGTGGGAAGAGTGTTCCACAATGTTAGGCCAACAGAGTAGAATTAAGTGACCTGCCTCTGACGTTCTGTAATGTCCCTAAAGCATGCCTGAAAGATACTTTATAGTATATTTTTTTCCTTTAATTAAGCTTGGACATATAGCTTAGATACTTATCTACAAGATGAGATGTATTATTGTGGCTGGGTTTGTCTTTAAGGAAGGCAAGAGCTTACAGCAGAATCAAGCGTTTTGTTAAAGGACACTAGTCAAGAGATATGCACACTTTTTGGAGTGCAGGCCACATTTAGAATCTCCTAGCTCCCCGCAGGCCATCAAGATCTCACACATGACATCACGTTTGCCTGTTTACGGCAAAACAGCACGTCGAATTTTTCAGTGAACATTCACATTTCCCCGGCGCTCGTGTGCCTGTCAAAACCACGCTGTAGGTTTTCAAAGCCCCCCCCCCCCGCCATTGTCAGGAGCACACTCGCAGGCAGGGAGATTGGCGCACGCCTGAATGTCGCGCCGTGATCGTGTGTGCTTCTGCCCTGCAGGAGCCGGAGACGCTGAGGAAGCAGCAGGGCGTTGGGCAGGTGAGGAAGGTGCTGCTCGTCAAGGCTGACGACGAGGGTCTGGGCATCTCCATCACCGTGAGTTATGCAGCAGCAGCAGCAGAGCCACTTTGAACCAAGAGATTTGCCGTTCCATGCCAGAGAAATTTCCTGGCGGTCAGAGTTTCGGGCATTGACAGGAAACCATAAGAAGCTTAATGTAATTTAGTCTGCCTAGTCTAAGCCCTGGGAATATAATTTGAACCCTAAAAATCCTAAATGTGGCTTCGTTTGGCTTTGTGAGCTTTTGGTGTTAACTTTGTAGCTTAATATTAATAAATAATTGACTTTGCCTTTTTGTGAGCAGTTGTGTTACTTTGGGCATACATACATACATAAATATAGGAGGTTGCTGAACGTGCCCTCTCTGTCTTTAATATCTAAAATATATAAACCTAACACAACAATTTAATAGTAATATGAATTTATGCTCATAAGTCCAGAATACTGATGATTTTCTCGAGATACTCAAAACTCGTTAACTTCATTGGGTTCTTCCCACACTGGGTGCACGAATTGTCGCAGAGCAGTAGTTATTTCAGAGCGTCCATCAAGGTCGTGTCAGCTTGCGGATATGCTCGCTAACAGCACCTGCCCCAACAACAGTCTTTTAAAGGCTACATGGTGGGGGGTATTTTTGTCCCGAATGAAGGGCGGCAAGGAACATGGCGTGCCCATTATCGTCTCCGAGATCCACCCGGGGCTGCCGGCCGAGCGCTGCGGTGGCCTCTACGTTGGCGACGCCATTCTCGCCGTCAACGGCATCAACCTCCGCGACACCAAGCACCACGAGGCGGTCGGCATCCTCTCCCAGCAGGTGGGGACCTGCCAGTGGGACGGACATGGGTGTGCGCGTGCTTGTGTGCACGTATTGTGTGTGTGATGGGGTGCTCGCTAACAGCACTTGGCCCAATATTCTGTTAAGGCTATACGAGGGATGTTTGTCTTTGGTGGGGAGTGGTAGTGTAGCGGTTCGCGTGCCGCGCTACAAATTCCTGCTCACGGCCAACACCAGTGGCGATTCTGTGAACCAGTCTTGGGCTTCCCCGAGGTTGGCTCAGCCTTAAATGAGTGCTTGGTAAGGATGTGTAAAAATTGCCACTAGGGAGACGAAGGTGGTCGGGTGTGGTGCTGGCCACCCACTCCCTCATGTGCCGTAGCGGCCTTCATTGGTGGTTCACTAACAGCACTTGCCCCAACAGTCTGTTAAAGGCTATATGGGAGATCTATGTCTTTGGGGAAACAAAGGTGGCCATGGGTAGTCCAAGTCACACCATATTCTCGCTTGCCATTTGTAGGTGCTCGCTAATGGCACTTGCCCCATAGGTCTATGAAGACTAAACAGGAGATCTTTGTATTTGTGTTTGAGCCTATAACTGCGTTCATGCACTGTGGCCTTCAAAGGCCTTGGCCCAAAATTAACACCTGGAATGTTAACAAATCAACACACATCTATCGGTAATCATCCTTTTCGCAATTCATCAACATTTTAATTCATTCACCTATGGGCTTTCTGGACAACTGTTTTACTGGCAGCGTTTAATTATTCTGGCAAACTATGGCAATGGTTCAACTTTCTGAGTCTCATCAGGGTTTATACTGCTCTGGCCTCTAACATCAAGCAACCCAACAGCATTTTATATATTCATAACGTTACTCCTGAAGCCGTCCACTGGCTCACCACCTTTGACTGATGCTCGAGCTCTTCACTGTCTGCCTCCCCCACCCTTCTGACCACTCGCATGCCGAGCACAGGTGGGAGAGATCGAGTTTGAGGTGGTGTTCGTGGCGCCGGACGTGGACTCAGACGATGAAAACGCGGAGTACGAGGATGAAACAGGGCGGCGCTATCGCCTATACCTTGAGGACCTGGAGGAGCACAGCGTGGCCTCTAGCAAAACGGCCACGAGTGCTGGCTCCAAGTCGCCTACGCCCGGTAAGGAGCCACCGCCACCCACCGCCTACACCAGCACGGAGCGCGGCCAGATTGTGCGCCGTCAGTGGCAAAATGTTTAATGCCCCGCCTGGTATACAGGAGGTCGTGGATTTGATCCCGACCCTGATGCCTGCTGTATATTTAGTTTGCATGTCTCTCTCCCTGTCGTCACGTGGAATTTTTTCCGAGTCCTCAGGTTTTTCCCTGCTTGAGAGCATTCGAGAGAAGTGCACACCATACAGTTACCACTGAGATCTCTTTAAGTGACCTCTTGTCCACAGGGATTAGCGCTCTTCTGCTCCTACTCAGCCACAGCGAATAATGTTTGTTATATTTGCTCCTGGATTTGTGGGTGAACCCTGTCATTCCTTGACCCCACACTCTCAGCTTCACCAAATCCCCACCTGCGTTTACTCAGTCCGCCTGCAGGCTGAGTTGGTGGCAAAGTCAGTCCGCAGCGGTTGTCCTTTGCATAAACTTGTCCCGGTTCATTAATGTAGAATTTACGCCAATGACTTTGAGTTACAAACAAATGACCAGCACTGCCTCACACTCTTTTGAGTGAGGATCCAGCTTTACTTATTTGACTGAAAGTAAACATATCATGTTTTTATTCACTTGCTTTCTGAAAGACTCAAGGTGGTGTTTGTTGTTGTTGTTTTTGTGGCAGATGTAACAGCGGTGGCCACCTCGGACGGTTTGTGCCTCAACAATGGAGACCTGAGCGACGGCTCGGCCTCGAACGGAACCTTGTCCAGCGCCTCGGCTCTTGAGGAAACAGCGACGGCTACCACCGGCATGCAGGAGCCCACCGGACCCACCCCTCCCACCTCCCCATGAGTCCTCCTCCTCCGGGTCACCCAGGCCTGCCGTTCCCCCTCGTGGTTGGGATGTGCCCTGCGTTTTATTCTGGCCGTATTCCCCTACCTCGTGGAATTCGGAAGGTCTCCTCGTACCGCACATGTCCCCGACATGAGCCACGTTCGCTGTTGTTTGGCAGTTGCCAAATTCCTGGCCTGCACATCCATCCCAAAACACAACCCACATTTGCACCGAAGCTCCATGTCTCTACGGTTGCTGCAGAATGGCCATGTGGTGTGTTTGTCCAAATCGTGCTATGGTCACATCCCAGGAATTGACCGAAAGTGTATCGACTTTAGCATCGGCTTGGCTGTTGCCTTCAATCACGTCTTCGTTTCACTGGTGGAATGACCCATTCAAGGGGAGGATATGATTTCCAATTCGCGATATCCCACAATACACAACCTTCTGGAGTCCACATGTGGTTCCACTGTTTCCTGCTCTGTAAAGCAGCGATCGATTGGTATTTAATGCGGTATGATTTGAGCGTTGCATTGTTTTTCCAGCCTGGCATTTCAATCGGCGAGTCAACCCGAGGAAACATCGGATATACCCTCACACTTCATAGCTTAGCAGTATCAGCATGGTGTACAAGTGCAGCTTACAGCATTCAGATTTATTTTATTGTTGGGGGGGGGGTCTTTTGTTTGTAAACCATTTACAGCCAGTGCATATATTTAAATTTATATTACACATTTTCCTACCAAAAGAGACCTGACATTCTCAACATCATCTTTATGACACACATTTGCTCAGTTGTATCTTTGAGCGTGCTGCCCTTCGAATATAATCTATATATATATATTTACACGGTGGATCAAACTACCTGCTGTCATTCATGGTAGACTTAGAGAGCTCTGACAGGATGCTCTACAAAGGGTTCTGAAACCTTTGCTTGCCATTGTATAAATGTCATCCGTTAACTTGTACAACAAAAGTGCCGTGTTACACAGTTGTGAGGTTACAGTAGATTAAAACTAGAGATCACTTAAATCATCACTTAAACAGCTGAAGCCCATTGGCATTTTATCTGTACATTTGTACTCTTACTATGTGCTTAAGTATACGAATTGATGACATTGTAAGTTACTTTTCAGTCTATATTTATTCTTGTCCTCTGTAGACACGACCACAGGAGTCGACTCGTCAGGCACGCGCTGCATACATATTTGACCTCTTCGGCTCTGAGATGGCAATGATTGGCCGAGGCGGTCGCGTAACTCATACATGTGACACCGGCCATGTAATTGGCACACGACCACTCATCTTAAAACACGTACAATAAGTTTGGCTGCATTGCCTGTGCGTGTGGCTTCCTTTTAAGATAAATGTATACATTTTTAGATCTTCCTTGAAGGTTACTTTAAAATATGAATTACTACCATGGATGATTCTGCAGCCATGGTGCTTATGTAAAGATTAGTGATGTTTTAAGGTTAAGTGTCCTCGGTCACTTGTGAGATTATTGTCCACGCTTGCAATATTAATGTAGAAGCTTGAATCAACCAAGCACTCAGCACAAAGCCCAGTGAATCTGCTTTCTTAAATCTGGGAAAAGCCTAATCCTTTGGAAATGTGAACCGTTTGGAGCTACATCCCTAAGCTTAATCTTTTCCTCAAATATTCCAACAGAGCTATTCCAACTTATTTTGAATTTGACTTAAAGGCCGTCCACAGGAATTCATAAACTGCTCACAGCAGTCACATTTATGAAAGGTATTTTAATCTTTCAAACACTTAATTTTACTGTTTATTTGCTTTCGTTACAATTCATGGAGACGAGAAAACTCGATAAGAACATTAAAATTATCCAACAATATTGCAGTCCATTGCACATGAATAACGGAGTTGCTTTTTAAAGGCAATGTTGGAAGATGGGTCTAATAAATATCACGACTTGCAGGGGTAACAATCTTTGGCTACGACCTTAAAAGCTGTTAACAGGTATGTCTCTTACAAGCCTTGGAGGGAACTTTGAGAAGAGGAGGTTGTTCACTTTCGCCTGGGGCAGTTGGGTCATCACCTTTGGGTGAGTCCAGGGAAATTTAAACAGGGCCGCACTGAGGCACCATTGATGCCGTCCATCTGTGCATATTTAATTCCTTCCCTTTACTATCCTGATGGATTATTTTCAGGGCCGTCCAGGTGCACATGAAGGGCATCTCAGAGAGGGATGCTAGTTCCTGTCACTGGCTTTGGAAACGAAGTTGTTGGGCTCACTCAATTTTTTTTCCTCTTCGTTTGGTCCGAGTACTTTAACCGATTTGGGCTTTATTTATTTACTATTTTTACTGTTTAAGCTTTATTTTCTCTGTTTAGTTCCAGAAGAATGTGGAAAAATGTAAAATAAAACAAATGGAAACAAAGCCTAAAAACATCGGTGGCATGAAGCAACACTTTTTATAATCTTAACGGTTTTTGAAACATTAACATTTTTATTGTCATTGTGTATGCGTTTGGTATGTACATCCGTGCATGACCATGTGGTGTGGGGGAGCCCTTTTTTTAAATGTTACTGGAAAGGAAGCAATGGTTGAGGGTCATGGGTACCCAAAAGGGTTGGGCAGAAATTATTGCACCAAGATTTTCGAGTCTTATATCTGTAATCTAAAACCAGACGTCCAATGAAAAGTGTGAATGCTTAATGTCCCCAGTTTTACATGGTCTTCTCAGCATCTATTCAATGTTACAAAAAACGTTTTGTACGTACTGTGCCGTGAATCTTAGTGACTGGTGTGAGAGTACTTCTGTATAAATGATAATCTGATAGCTTTGTGTAATTAAACAAATTAAAATTGTAAATGTTGCAATGCTTGCTGACCTACCAAACTAATTTGTGTTTTACTACATGTGTACCTACTTTTTCTTTGTTTCGGTAACAATGTCAAAAATGTATAATATTGTAAGCGTTAATCATGGTATTTTATACGGGAGTGTTCTGCAAAAGTATGATTGTGCAGGAGCAGTTTCATATAACCGTCTTGGACATTTAGCCTTATTCTAATCAAACCAACAAATAGCACTAAGTAATGTTTCATGATGCTCTAAAAAAAATAATAGCATTCTTATAAATATTACAGAAGCTCAATGTATATCCGAGACCATGCCACTTTAACCAAAGGCCATCTACACAGTCTTACAATTGTGCATTGTTGCAAAACATTATGCTCTGTCCAAAGTGCTCCTGTAATGGGTTTTAATTTTTCAAAGGTCCTGATGCTAGACAACTTGGATGCAGGTAACACAGTCACGTGGGAGGACCAATGTGTGATGTGATAAAAGTGACAAGATAGTTGAAGAAGCCAATAGACAATCTGATAATTTTGCCCTATTTAAATAGCTTGTTTTTTGTCTCGTTTTTGATCATGTAATGAGAGAAATGCCACCTTTTGGAAAGTATTTCCCACTGCTTATCGGTGGTATGTTTTCCACATTTATTAATGTTCTCAATTCAAACATGAATTACATTGATACATGAATGGAATAATGTTGATTGGTTAAAAGGGTGAGGTGCATTGTGGTTGGAGGATTTTGAGGACTTGTTGCCCTGCAGTGTCGGCATTTTGTGTATGTTGAACTTCTTCGACATCGTATGTAGCCAAACGTGCTAATCAGGGATGCGAATTAGCTCTTCATAGTTCACTATTGGTTTAAATTGGGGCTTTCCAAACTCTAGTCGTCTTGCTTCACCACAGTCCATGCAATAATTGGTTATAATGTGCAAAAGGTGAACGACTTGATTTGCAACACAATCGGAAATATTGGTGAACTTGGTTTTTCTATTTTTAATGCAACCTTTGGGAATTTTAATAACGCCATACACCATTCAAAATGTTTCAATAAGGAAGCCCTCGACATATAAACCTTATAGCGAGACCCTCGGCTCTCGCGTAAACTGCGTTGCGACGTCATTTTAGCTCTGTTGAATGCGAACGATACGGCGATCTATTCCTCTCGACGCACTTTGCACGATGCGCTAATCAAAATTTAAAAGTTTTGTTTCTTCTGCGCTTTCGTCCTCCCTGCTGCGCTTGGACGACACGACAACAGAATGATCCGCGCCAGGTGGGTCGCGGCCTTTTATGTGCGCGGTGGGACGGAGTCGCCAAAAATAAACAAATTAATTTAGATTTTGACTTCCGTTTATTTGGGACCCCGGGGTCCCGCCATACGGTTAATATAACAATATATAATTGTATTTTTTTTATTGCCAGCGATCTAAATTGTTGGAACAATGGTATTTGCATGTTTAAAGGCCTACACTTTTGAAATATGTTAAATTAATGGAAATATTAGATTGTGTTCAATGAAAGTAAGCATAGCTTTTTATGTCCAGGGAATTGGTCGTGACAGCACACTGGCACCGTGGTGTGTGCCACTCAAGCGCATCTCTCCTCTGCCCATGTTTATGTCTGCCTGTAGTTTGGACTTCAAATAAAATGACAATTTCCGTGTACTTGTAAGATAGTTGTGCTGTACATTTCATGTGACCTCGCATAGTGTTACGGTATTGTTGCACCGGGACTGAGTTTTCATTTGCAAATAGGAATGTTCACTAAAATAATATCTTTCTCATTTACTGCATCTTACATGCATTAATAAAAAATGAATACAATAAATTATGTTATTTTTTTGATAGTGTATGAATATCAGACAGTGTATTTTAAAGGTAGTTTCCATTTATTATCCATTCAATGTGTTCACAAATACAAGACTCATTACAGATTTTACAATGGCCCATTACAAGACATTATGCTCTGCATACTGGGGGTAATGCGAGGACAAATATTGTTTTAAAATATTCTAATCACAAATAATGATAGCAATTATGAACCCAGGAAAGCTTCACTTTTTTAAGAAGGGTCCTGGTTTGGGACGTTTGGCCATCACAATACCAATACCATACATGCATTTGGATTCCAGTGGAAAGAAACCAGAGCACCTAAGACAACCCATGCACACTAAAGGAATAATCAAAACTGTGCACAGATAGATTAAATAAACTGACAATGTAATCTTAGTTTACTGAGCCCATTACTGTACTGTCATCTGGCTATCTCGGGGCTCATAGCGCATTCGGAAGCGCTTGTGGGTCACCTAACCAGTCACCAACCTCGGCCCTCATTTAGAATTACTGGTCATAGGCAAATGTAGGACGGAGATTTTAAGGTAATGTTTATTGATTCACATGCCATCCTGAACATGTGCACTTTTATGGTCCTAATACAGGTTTTTAGAAAAGTGAACCAAAATTTCAGTCAAACTTTGAAGCTCTCTGATGTGGACCAATCCGTTATAATCAGAGCATGTTTTATGTTTGCATGTTCACTACAAGTGCGTGTAGTTAATGCAGACAGGACTCCTTGAAAAATTATTCTATTTGGTGTTTTAACATATTAACGCCTGTTTTATTGCCAGAGAGGGTAACGTCTAGATTTGAAAGGGTAAAACCTTTTGTTATATGGTGCCATGCGCTCAGTGCAGCACAGAGACCACGTGACGGGTTTGTTGACATCCGGGTCACTTCCGGAGCCCGCGCGGGTGGCGGGGGGGGGCTGTGGGAGGGGCGCCCGCGCGCGTGCCAAGCGGTAGCCGTCAACGCGCATGCGCAGTCGCTCGATTAACTCGAGCGATTTAAAATATTACGCGCGGCAAACTTTTTCTTTTCGACGTTTTTGTTACGCCGACGCGGATATAAATCGTCGGGTAAAAATATTTGTAGTGAAAAAAAAATACATTTATTCGACGTTTAAAAAAAATACAAAAATTTGTCTGCCGACCAATGGGGGAGCTCGGGCCGCGGTTGCTAGGCGGCAAGCGCGCGCCAGTGCGGCGCGGCCTGGCGGCAAGCGCGCGCCACGGTTGGGACGTCGTTAGCCCGCGATAAATCGACGCAAAACTTTACACTAAAGCGGCGAAGCAAAAGCAATAATAATAATAAGTGTCGTGATACGCGTCGTCTGTTAGGGCAGAGCTACGCGGTCGGGAGGAGCCGCCGGCGTCGCGCGTTGCGTTGAAGCCCGTCTTGCGCGGAGGAGCCTTGCCGAGTGTGTGTGTGGGGGGCGGTATGAGGCCTCGTGGTGTAGGCCCCAACCGACCACGCGTTAAGGATCTCTCTCAGGTCCGGGTTCTCATCGATTGACAGTCATTCTCGGTACACTGCTGGATGAAGGCCTCCCTCCTCCACCCCCCGCGCCGTGGTTGTCTTGTTAAGTGAGGGTTTGTGGAGCTTGAAAGGGCCTCGCTTGGACCTGGTTCGGATGTGACTCGCCACTGATGTTAACCGTGGCCCGAGATCGAACTCGGTTGGCTTGGTTAAGAGAGCAGCGCGCTAACCACACCTCAGCATAATTGTTCTATTGTTAATAGTATTACTGTATTAGCTTTACTGTCATACAATTGCTGTTATGACTATCAGCGTTATTATTGTTGTACAGTATTTGGATACATCATTAGCAACATTGAAACATGGAAACCCATCACACTCAATACTATGATTAGTATTACATATCTTAATGTTTAATCGATTGTCATTACTGTCATTATTTGTATCTTTACCGTAATCGCTGTCATGACTTGTACTGTTAATATGCACAAAGTACGAAATGAAAACACGACCCATAAAACAGCTTGCAGTTACATGCAATTGGGCTGCGTGTTTTGGGATCTTTAAAGACAAGAACATTTGCTGTGGTTTTCACACCTGATGATGATTGCTTGTGTTGCAGTCGAAACGTCGTGAGAATTTTATTGTTTTAAATTTGTATTATTATATTGTTTCCCTTCTACGTGACTTTACCGAAAGAACCAAGAATATGAATCCCTGCAGTCACTAAAGCTTTAAATCAAAATACGACTTTTAAGTTTAGATAATAAAGAAACAAACGCCTTTTGTCGTCCTCTGGTCTAACACCGTTTTGAGACTAGGCTAAAAAGAAAGCTGCCTCTGGTATGGACCAATCAGTTTCAAAGACAATGCATATGTTAGTGTTTTTTTGTTTGCATTCTAACCACAAGTGTTGTGGTTAATGCAGACATGATTCCTTGTAAAATGTTTCAGTTTGGTGTTTTAGCATCTTAACACCTGTTTTGTTGCCAGAAAAAAGGGGAAAACCTATTCTCGTGAAGAAACATACTCTTAAAGTTACATTATTTAGTATCAGATGCTTTGGTCAAGGATTATATGACCCAATTAAATGTTCCCGCAGCCGAGCAGTTTGGATTTATATAATTGTTAAAATAACCTTTTTTATTTTTCGTAGGCGGATGTGCAAATACGCACAAGACAATCAGTTAAGCCTCTCGCGGAAAGGACTCTTGTGAATTATGGCTGCGCATTTGGACATCACAGCCAGCGAAGGTAATGTGTTTGAATAAACATCGCACAATAGCATTGGAATGACCTGGATTCTGTCAGTGTTTATCATCACTTGCTAACCACTCCTTTTGAACCGAGGTGGTAAGCTAGTAAAATGCAATAGTCTACGGTACTGTTGCTCGGAAAAAATACTGCTGCCACCAATCACAATCGGTTTTGGGAGTCGCAGAACATGTTTAATGTGCACGCTATTATAACCACGGAGTGGAAAAAGAGATCGGTGGGACTGCAGCCGACAAGGTTTGAACCACCAACTAACCGCACCGTGATTTTTCCGAATAGCGATATTTCATACCACGCTGACATGGTCGAGGTATGCGTGTCTCTATTTTTTTGTGGCAGGCCGGGTGGTCGACTTGTCGGATCGTGGCCTGGTCCGGTTGTCTGCGGTGTCATTGCCCACGGACGCTTGCACGCTGGTGCTTGACAGTAATAACTTGGCCAAACTGGACGGTGTGGAGAGCTGCAGGCACCTCATGCAGGTGCGCACGGCACAATCTGCAGGCACCTCATGCAACTATTTTCTGGCGGACGAGGGCTGGTGTTGCGTCGTGTGATAACTTGTGACCGCTGTCAGCACCTCGTCTCCAGGTCTTTCGCATCTTGTGCATCTTTTTTTCTCTTACTAAACTTATATCGCCAGCTCTGTAATCTCTTTTGTATCTCTTCGTGTTTATTTAATCTCAGTCATTTGTATCTCTTGGTCTCAGACAGCCATATCTTGGCCAGCCACTTCAAAAGCTCTGGCCTGTGGGCAACTAGTTGATGTAATATATAGGATACACAAAGATTAATAGGTGTCAAATGCGTGTATTTGTAAAGTTGTCAGTGATCGTTAAGGATTTTAATGTGGCAAAACATCCATTACAATAAGGGTGTGCTCATTGAATAGGGATACAATTTACATCCATTTATTTACCTGTTGAATATATATACATTTCAGCATTTTTTAAAATATAGATTCACTTGAAAGTATATTCACACTGCATTTAAAAAGTTGAATTCATGATAGCCCATTCTGTTGCTGGTCAGTGAAGTATCAACTGTATGTCACAAATATATTACAGATTTAAGTTTATGGAGCTGGGGTGTAATGTATATAATATTGCAACGGTTTTTAATATGTATTCAATGCATATACAGTCATACCTCGGTATATGACTGCTTTGGAATAGGTCGAATTTGGTATACGTCGTGTTTTGACGAGAAAAAATTGTCTTGGGATACGACGTCTTGCTTGGGATACGACACGCTTGCTAGAACTTGTATGGGTCGGGATCAGTCACCGCGTACCCGCGTTTACCCCGTTCATGACAGAGACAAAGCGCCGCTCCTCAGTCTGCCTTTAGATCTCGTTCAGTGCACAACCCTTGCTATAACTCTGTGAATTTTCACGTGTTTTTTGTAATTTTTATTTATGTATGCATTTTAGTAATAAGTAGTGTCTAAATTATTTAATACAACCCCATTAATGTATAATATGCCATATAAAATATAATTTCTTGTACTCTGGAACGGATGATTTACTTTCCCTTTATTTCTTCTGGGAAAAATTCCTTTGGTATACGTCATTTTCTGGAACGAATTAACGACGTATACCGAGATACCACTGTATGAGGATGTATCTGCTTATCTCTCCGTGTCCCTCAGCTGTCAGCTGCTGAGAACAGCCTAGTGCGCATGGGAGGTGTGGCCAGGCTCAGCAGCCTCAAGCAGCTCAACCTTCCTCGCAACAGCATCCCAGCCATTGAGGGCCTCAAGGATCTCTGCCATCTGCAGTGGCTGAACCTTGCCGGCAACAGTATCAAGGTGTGCACAGGCGGGCAGCTGCTCGCCGCCCCCTCCGGGCACTGAGGCTGATTTTTGTCCTTTTAAAAACATGCTTTTAGGTTACTTAGATTATTTGGCTACTGTAAATTTACACGAGACAAGCCACTTCGTTGAGCTGTCACTTGTGGCCAGGTCGCTTCTGAAAAAGAAGATTATAGTTTAGTGGGCTTTACCTGGTAAAATAAAATCGTTTTGTTTGTACATTGTTTTTAGTGATTTGCTTACCTTTCCTATACTTGGCACTCCTATGTTGTTTCTGTTTTATTTCTTGTTGTAACGTTCTGACCCGCCCTTACTAGACATATATGAAAAAGAGCTTCATAGCTCATTGGATTTCTCCAGTATAAATACATATTTTGATTCTCATATACCATTAATGCTGTTGGCATCATGTCAAGAGATATGAACTGTCATATGTAACTCTTGCAGAAAACAGTGCATCACCCACCCCATGTTTCATAGCAGCATCGGGAAGATGACTTGATATGGGGAGGTGTTGATCACCTGGTAATCAAATAGAAAATTTGTCCTCAGAGTGGACATATGCTGAAACGGAAAACCATTCTTAATGCAATGGATGTTTGTGCAGTCATATATTACTTGAGATCTTCAAAATGCTATACCTATGAAACAATTTTTGTTCGTAGATTGCTGAAACTTGAATTTAACGAAGGATCTCAGCAGTGCCACGTTTGTGCTCAGATGTGTTATTAGGATCCTGAGCTACTCGGCCTCCTGTTTTCAATGTCAGGAGGAAAAGGAACCCATAGGCATGAATAGTCTGTTGCAGTTGTATGGAGTTACCATCAGCATGGAGCTTGGAAATGGACGTGACGTTCTTGTGCATTCTCAGGGCAGTGATTGGCACAAACTCCTGTTGCTTTGGCTTGGTAAATGGCACAGCTCATGTTACTGACCATCACTGGAGGGATTTAAGAGTCGACAGTGCCGAGTTTAGACTTGCAGCCTCGCTCATGATTAGCAGTTGTTCAGCTGGGCTGTCCAGCAGGCATGGAACGAGAACATCGGTTTATCATTGAAATGTAAACTTATCCTGGAAAAATACAGTTCAAATTTAATGCATTGGAATCCATTACTTACACTTTTTATGTACTTGCATTGTCTTCAGGCACATGGAATAAATAAAACTGTACAAATCAGACTGCACAAATGGGAATTGAATCTAATTCTAACCCTGAATTGTGACAGTCAAATCCCTGGGGTTGTGTATCTACTATTCAGCTCATTAGTACCGCCTATGCTGAATGTTTTTCTGCGTACTTTGTTTGCCTGACCTCAAATAGCTCGGCTCAATTTCATTTCTCATGGTTGTATCTAATTCTGTAACTTACAGAATGGGATTTCAATTTGAAATCATAATCAAATTTGTAAGAAATATATAACAGCTGTAAGTATTTGACAAATTATGTATCTGATTAAGCGAAATAACGATACATTGACTAATGGGTGGTAGATACGTGATAAGCACAACACGTGGAAAAACCTTTTTAACATTTAGTAAAAGGCATAATTACTTTTCAGACCATAACTTTTGGATTATTAGCGTTGTCTCTAATATGTTGTATTTGTTTCTCTCAGACGATAGAACACCTGAATGGCTGCACCTCCCTGACGTACGTGGACCTATCTGACAACAACATCTCCCACCTGGGCGACATGTCGAAGCTGTCCAACCTACGGGTGTGTCACATGGGGGCACAAGATACACACAATGTGGCGCAATAGCAGCTAGTCTGCTTAGTTAACTATTAAACCATTACTTTTCCTAAAATATTAATCCATGTAATTGCAGCAATTAAAATGTACTATCAGAAACGTGTTGATTCATCTCTGAAGTTGTTGCTTGGAGGCTTCTAGATTGAGTGCTGCCATAATTCATGATCACTTGTAGGTTTGCAGGCTTGGTGTCATTTAAAATGAAGGAACTCCCACCATTCACTACTGTGTGATGCTGCCAATTGCTGAGCGCCACACGTTCCATGAGGGGACTGTTAAGTGTGGCTCCGGTTTAGTGTTGAGGCTGCGACAGCACTTTTCTTTGCAGCTGTGCTGTGTAGTAATATCATGTAAATGAGTCAGCAGAAGTGTGATGTATAAATTACCACACATGCAGGGTTGCATGTTCAGGTATAATACATTATGTTTATTACAGTAATCATGAGAGGGCAATATGAAAGTTCTTGAAATTCAGGTTTTTATGATTGTTTCACTAATGAAGTTTTTTTAAGTTGTGGTCTGACAGCCTGGGGGAAAACAGGCTGGGAATCATCACATTGCTTTTATGTTGCGTCTTTTACACCTCTTGGTTAGGGGGCAGAAGCCAAAGAATTGGTAAAGACATCAACCAAGCAGTAGATCCAAGCAAGGAGATCTTGTGAACTCACTTATATAGGTGTTGTCCATGCGAATTTTTTAATGAATCTAAAGGGCTAAACATGTCTCTTGCAGAAAATAATGCACATTAGTGACGAATGATTTTGGTCCAGACAGATGGTCATGCAGTAATTAAATTGCTAACTTGCCCCTAGAGATGAGTATAATCCATACATTTCAGTTTTCTTCCACATGCAGAATATTTGAGAAATTGGCCAAATTTCCCAAGTAAGGCTTTCTTTAAATAGTGCCTTAAGAAGTGAGGCTTTCCTTTTTAATATAGAATAATTAATTTACATGAGCATATGACACAATGTATTTTTGATTTATGCACCGTCTAAATGTGACTGAATCTGAATGAATGGTGTTGTGTTCCAAGTGTAGACCCTTCTGCTGCACGGCAACATGGTGACGAGCTTGCGCACTGCCCCCACGCATCTGCCTCCACAGCTGGGCATCCTTTCTTTGGCTGAGAATGAAATCACCGACCTCACCGAGGTGTGTAAAGGCACCCGTTACCCCATCCCCCCCCCACCCATCGTTCATCACCTCCGCAGTTTCACCCGAGTCACCTCGTGATGCACAGATGGGTGCTGTGAGGCCTCTATGCATGTTCATACACTATCAGTCTTAACACCCACAGTACTAATGAGATACACACCGGCCCACCCATCATTCATCACCTCCGCAGTTTCACCAGTCACCTCATGATGCACAGATGGGTGCTGTGAGGCCTCTATGCATGTTTATACACTAGCAGTCTTAACACCCACAGTATTAATGAGATACACACCGGCCCACCCATCATTCATCACCTCCGCGGTTTCACCAGTCACCTCATGATGCACAGATAGGTGCTGTGAGGCCTCTATGCATGTTCATACACTATCAGTAATAACTATAGTACTAATGAGAAACACACCGGCCCACCCATCGTTCATCACCTTTGCAGTTGCACCTGAGTCACTTCGTGATGCACAGATGGGTGCTGTGAGGCCTATATGCATGTTCGTACACTATCAGTAATAACACCCACAGTACTAATAAGATACACACTGGCTGGTACAGTCCGACTTAACGTACATTACTGCATAATGAAATTGAAAGTGCTGTCCGTGGCCTGCTATTTAAAGCAACACAAACACATCCTTTATATATCTGCACCTATGCAAATCTGTAGATGCACAGCAATGTTGGAAGTGGTCTTTCCTTCAGACATCAGTTAAATGAGCATAGAGCAGTGTATATTAGGAAGCTACTGGAGCTATGGACTTAGAAATCTAATTTCTTTAGAATTTATTTTTTTGTTGAGTTTGTTGTCCTTCCCCCGCACCTCCGATTAGCATGGTTGGCTACATACGAGGCGAAATAAGTTCTTCATACATACACACATACGGATGGACCATTTGCTGTAACTGTACGTGCGTGGTGGTTGGTGTCTGCAGATGTCACACCTGTCATGCCTGCGCAGCCTGGAGCAGCTGTCGGTCATGAAAAACCCGTGCATGCTAAGTGCACCCTCAGCGCCAGCCTGCGATCACAGGCCCTACGTGCTCAGCTGGTGCCTGACACTGCGCGTGCTGGATGGGCATGTTGTCACGCAGAAGGAGAGGTAGGGAGTGCCCTGCACGGGGTCACGATGCGGCCACATGTCTATGCTGACCAAAATACCGTGTACTTTGGTATATGTGTAAAGGAGTAGTGGGAGGGAGGGCATCAGCAGGAAAGAACTGGATTACATCATAGGGTGACGTCATGTTACCCAGAGGGGAGGGGTACTTAAGGGGGACCCTGGGCCGAGGGGTGGGGTCGTTGTGGGGAGCCGAGGAACGGAGGTCTCGAGGGAACGGAAGACACGCCGAACGGAAGATGCGCCGCTCGGCACCGAGACCCTAGGCCGAGGAAAGAGTAGGATTCGTGGGGAGCTTAGGTCAGGATAGGCCAAGGAGTTAGGCGGGTACCGGGACGGTCCACGGGATGGACCATGTGTAGAAGTACCTACCTCTGGTGAAATCCGATGATTCTGTTCGTGAGTGTAGTACAGTGAGGGAACAAAGTATTTGATTCCCTGCTGATTTTGTACGTTTGCCCACTGACAAAGAAATGATCAGTCTATAATTTTAATGGTAGGTTTATTTGAACAGTGAGAGACAGAATAACAACAACAAAATCCAGGAAAACGCATGTCAAAAATATTATAAATTGATTTGCATTTTAATGAGGGAAATAAGTATTTGACCCCTCTGCCAAACATGACTTAGTACTTGGTGGCAAAACCCTTGTTGGCAATCACAGAGGTCAGACGTTTCTTGAAGTTGGCAACCAGGTTTGCACACATCTCAGGAGGGATTTTGTCCCACTCCTCTTTGCAGATCTTCTCCAAGTCATTAAGGTTTAGAGGCTGAAATTTGGCAATTCGAATCTTCAGCTCCCTCCACATATTTTCTATGGGATTAAGGTCTGGAGACTGGCTAGGCCACTCCAGGACCTTAATGTGCTTTTTCTTGAGCCACTCCTTTGTTGCCTTGGCCATGTGTTTTGGGTCATTGTCATGCTGGAATACCCATCCACGACCCATTTTCAATGCCCTGGCTGTTTGGAAGGAGGTTCTCACCCAAGATTTGACGGTACATGGCTGCGACCATCGTCCCTTTGATGCGGTGAAGTTGTCCTGTCCCCTTAGCAGAAAAACACCCTCAAAGCATAATGTTTCCACCTCCATGTTTGACGGTGGGGATGGTGTTCTTGGGGTCATAGGCAGCATTCCTCCTCCAAACACGGCGAGTTGAGTTGATGCCAAAGAGCTCCATTTTGGTCTCATCTGACCACAACACTTTCAGCCAGTTGTCCTCTGAATCATTCAGATGTTCATTGGCAAACTTCAGACGGGCATGTATATGTGCTTTCTTGAGGAGGGGGACCTTGCGGGCGCTGCAGGATTTCAGTCCTTCACGGCATAGTGTATTACCAATTGTTTTCTTGGTGACTATGGTCCCAGTTGCCTTGATATCATTGACAAGATCCTCCCGTGTAGTTCTTTGCCTGATTCCTCACCGTTCTCATGATCATTGCAACTCCACGAGGTGAGATCTTGCATGGAGCCCCAGGCCGAGGGAGATTGACAGTTCTTTTATGTTTCTTCCATTTGGCGTGTAATCGCACCAACTGTTGTCACCTTCTCACCAAACTGCTTGGCAATGGTCATGTAGCCCATTCCAGCCTTGTGTAGGTCTACAATCTTGTCCCTGACATCCTTGGAGAGCTCTTTGGTCTTGGCCATGGTGGAGAGTTTGGAATCTGATTGATTGCTTCTGTGGACAGGTGCCTTTTATACAGGTAACAAGCTGAGATTAGGAGCACTCCCTTTAAGAGTGTGCTCCTAATCTCAACTCGATACCTGTATAAAAGACACCTGGGAGCCATAAATCTTTCTGATTGAGAGGGGGTCAAATGCTTATTTCCCTCATTAAAATGCAAATCGATTTATAACATTTTTGACATGCGTTTTTCTGGATTTTCTTGTTATTCTGGCTCTCACTGTTCAAATAAACCTACCATTAAAATTATAGACTGATCATTTCTTTGTCAGTGGGCAAACGTACAAAATGAGCAGGGGATCAAATTCTTTTTTTCCCTCACTGTAGTTAATAAACTGTTAGTAGCCCTTAGAGAGAATCTCGTCTCCGTGTGAGTTTACACCACTACATATGTTATTTACTCAACATGGGTTATGGCACAGCCCATTACAACAGTGACAGCGTCATGGGTGAGTTGGCAGAAGGTGGCACTGGAGTAAATGTGTAAGGCAGCCTCCTGAGCAGTGTTACACACGTTTGTCAGACATCGCAGGCTTAGCTTCTGCTAAAATGGCTTTCGGGCACGGCTGTGCTTTCCTGTGGTTGTGTAGAGGTGCTGCTACTACCTCCTCTGATTGTATGTGGGTGCTGCCAGGCCATATACGATTGTACGATTTAGCTGTATAATGTAGTATTTAGTTATTATGTAAAGGTGGATTTTAGATACATTTTGGTAGACCTTTGCCGCACCCACAGAGTTCCCTCTCCTCTATATCAACAGCACAGCACTTGCTTAAGGATGTTTTTTTGCATTATGTAGTGAAGACCTTCTACATGGTGTGGTGGACACCAAAGTAAATTGGTTGTCAGTTACTTTTTGTGAGTGCTGCCAGACTGCACAAAACTCCATCATTACATCAGAAGAAAATTCTACATTAATCGGATTATGTGGGGTTGTGAAGGGGTGTTACAAGCTAAATGGTTGTCACCGTCTTTACATAATGAGGCCTGGTGTGCAGGCATTTAACGATTTACCCCCTCGGCAAATTGTATACAGTTTGCACAAACCGTAAATAACCAATTCTCATACACAATTGAATCCAGGTATTGTGTGTGTGAGAATCAATATGAATTGAATAATTATCGATGCATAGCCTCACAACTAGTGGTTTGTAACTCTTTGAGGCTTCTGTGCTCACCTGGGTTCACTGTTGCATGAATTGCGCTAACACAGTGTGCTTGCCTACTGGCTGCAGCTTGAAGGCGGAGTGGCTGTACAGCCAGGGTCGGGGCCGTTCGTTTCGGCCGGGCCAGCACGCCCAGCTGATTGGCTATCTGGCACAGGTGTGCCCGCAGTCCACCTCGCCGCAGCTGATCACCGCTGAGGATGCCAAGCTCCAGAAGATACTCAAACAGCAACAGTGAGAACTCTTGAACTGCCACTTTATAATTATTGAAGGGCATTACAGCGTGTGAAATTTCCCTAATTATTTTCCATAATTTCTGGGCATTCTACAGTTGAAATAATGTGGGCGGATATATTGTTCCGCGTATGATGGGGTTTTTTGGGGGAACCCCTACGGATAGGAAAGGAACGGCAATCGCACAGCTTGAAGCTCAAATAGAAGTGTGCAAAGCAAAACTGAGCTTTCGTTAGCTGTGTCGCTGCGCTGAGCAGAACCACCATGCCAGCCAGTCCTAGTTCTATACTGTACAATTACTAACGTGGTATTAGATGTGCATTCTATAATTGTGATTTTCAGTTTAACACGTACGCTTTTGCGACCAATATCATCCGTAATAGAGGTTTTTTGGGTTAGATCGCGTAAATATATAAATGTGTCATTAAAACCTGCCACCACCCGACACAGCCAACTAGTATGGGTTGTCACGTAAACAGAACATGCCAGGCAGGATGACAGGACTCCAGGCAGGAAGTCGTCAAGAAAGCTGTTTTATAATATGTATGAAAAGTAGTTTAAATAACATTACAGAGCTGTCTTCTCTTCTTTAGTTCCCTTCTGGCTTTTAGAGATGATGGGGCCAAATGAGATATTTCCATCTGTTCCCAACTTCAAAATTAAACAAATTATTTGATGATACCACAGCTTCGATTAGCATGGTTGGCTATGTATGGTGCGAAATAGGTTCAACATACATACGTACAAGTACACATTACAAAGAAAAAAACTCAGAACATTCATCAATAACACTGTTAGAAAAAGCATATACATGAAAACCTCCATATTTCGGTGTTTCATAATTCATAATTGGGGATATTTCGCACGGCTGCGCTTTTGGCATATATGCAGTATCAGTAATTCGCATGAGCCAAATTGCCGTACCGAATGGTCCAATTTCGGCATACACGTGGAGCGACACCGCGCGCCACGATCAAAACAATGACTCATTCTGGTGGCGGCGTGCATGGTGAGCGTTCGTGCATACCTGTTGGATTGGGCTTTACCTTGTTTATGCACTGTGTGCATGCCAACCCTCTTAGAATCTAAATGTCATCTACACCTACATCAAGTCAGTAATATAAAAGGACCAAAGTATAAATCCCTCAGTCTGCGAGACAAATCCAAAGTGTTGGATAGAATTGATGCAGGTGTGTCAATGCATATGGTGTGTGAAGAGTTTGGAAAACAAATTAGGAAAAAATAAATATTGGGGCAGGAGGCACTGGGGAGTACCATTGTACATCATTCGGAATATTGGATAATTCGGCAAGGCCAGAGCCCCATATGTGTCGAATTAACAAGGGTTTACTGTAATACTCTCTGGTTCTTTCGGTACAGTCACGTGGATAGAAAAAATAATAAGAGAAAACACGACGTTTCGGTCGCAACACAAGCGTCCATCTTCAGGTGTAATAGGCGACATTTTGGCGAGAGGGTATCTCTGGCTTCGCCATTGTGTTATGAAGAATGGCCATTGCCTGAATTTTGTTTGTATACTTTTTTTTATTGACGAATGCTCTGTGTTTTTCCTACCTTATACCAGTTTACAAGCTCTATATGCGCTATATTTGGTTTTCATGCAAATAACCGAGGATATGAACTGGGGCACTCCACTCAGTGTATTTTGAGACACGCAGTAGTTCGATGCAGCGTGTAATGTTTGCAGCGTTTTTCAAACGCCATCAAATTTTTAAACAGGGTACATTTCTGAGGTACAGAATGTTGCCTTCATCTGCCATTTATAATTCATCACTCTATAGACTTGATTGAAACAGAGAATATCTCAACTAGAGTGCGTGTTTTTTTTTCCTCTCCTCTCTGAATGACACAGGCGCCACCAGAAGGAGCTGATGGAGGAGCTAAAGCAAGAGCGGCATCGGAGTCTCTCTTTGGAAGCTTCCCAAACACCGTCATCCCTCAACCCTGGAGACAGCAGCAGCCTCACGTACAGCGAGCCTGCTTCCGAGACGCCAGGTGCTGTCACTCGACAATGCAGTGACTCCTGAGTAAACACAACTGTGCCTCTCTTTTGCCTGTCTTGTTTAAAACACTTGTTGAGCGTGCTCCACACGGATATAGTTTATGGTAGAACTAATCAGCTTGGTTACACGGCCATTGCAATGTTTTAAGTAGTGAGGAATCATTCTGGAATATAATAAAAGTGGTATGCATATGTCATTGAATGTGTATACTGTTTTGCTTTCATATCAAAAGTTGATTTGAACTGATATGTTAAAAGTATTGTTTATATGGAATGTATTATGAAGTTTTAGCATCCATCAAGCACAAAAACATTTAGTTCCATGTGTTGGTGAACAGCACATAGCAAGCAGGCATACAATACTTAACAGGAGCATACAATACTTAACAGCTAATATATCCTGCCACTGAAAAAATTACATTTAGCTGTTTAGGTACGTCCACTTTCTAATCACATTTGCTCATGCCGGTGTTTGGTGGTGGGTCTCGCAGACAGGCCCATTAAGGTGAACTTGTGGATGGGCGGAGGGGGTCTGCACGAGAATGCGTCCCCAGCCCTTTCACAGCGGACGGCGGCGTCAAAGCTCGGCGTGCGCCCGGTCATCTCCGACCTGCACCTCGAGGACGTACACTCGGAGGACGATCGGCTGGGCTCCAGCATGCTGTTGTCGGAGTCCACCTTTATGATGTGCCCCAGCTTATTACCGTCGCCCAAGTCCGGCGAACCAGTGGGCGTCGCGTCAAACGGTGCCCGGACTCCGTTTCAACAAGCCCCGAAGCTTGAAGACAAATCCCTGCGTCCTCGGCAGTCTCCTCAAACGGAGGTGGTCGTTCAGAAGACGTTGCCGCATAAACGGAGGCAGTTGCCTTCGGTGCAGGGGTTGAGCGGGAAAGTATCGGCGCCTTCGCAGGCAGGTGAGGTTTCGAGGCTCGGTAGCGAGGCATACGGTCGACCGTTCTTGAAAGGAGCTCCGACATTCAAGTCGTCGCTACACGAGGGAAAGAAAATTGTGTCAACCCAGAGAGATGTCAGCACGCCTTCTCCATGCTTGCAAGAAGTTCACGAAGAGCACAATGATGATAGTAAATGGACACTCAATGCTCAGGTGGAGAGTGTGTCAAGTCTCAGGTTAGCATCGTCTGCCGCTGTTCATCTAATGCAGCACAGGGACACACACGAGTTGAAAGTTGGAACAAAAGCACAAATTAACAGCCTAGGTAGCAAAGCTTTTCAGGAAACAGTGCCGCAGAAAGATGTGGAAAAAGCATTTCAAAAGAGAGGGGAGCACTTGAATAGATTCCCTATTGCTGCAAGCTTTGCACAATTGTCCCCTGAAGAGAAGAGTTGTGGTGAAGAGCAGCACAACAGGTCGGATGCATGCAATGCCTTGCAGCGAGGAAACCACACCAGGAACATCAACGAACCTGAAACGAATGTCCACGGCAAGTCGCGTAGCCGATTGCACAATGACGAAGTGAGCCCTGCTTCCCTGCCCTGTGTTAAAGCTCTTAATGGAGGCTCCCTTGCAGACAATGGATCCTCCGTTCATAAAAATAGTGACAATGCTTTTTGTACGGTGCCTTCAGCAACCGTGGCATCCAGCGTTCAGTTCTTGACACGTGCAGACAGGCAGATGGATTGCACAGAAGCCAACGCAGAGCACTTGGTTGGTGAAAAATCCCCTGACCGTGGTGGTGGACATTCACCAAGAGTGACCGACAAAAGCACAAGACGGCACAATGTGAAGCCTGGCTTGCCAACTGAGTGTGCAGCGGGAGAGATGGCCCCTTGCACGGGAGAAGCATTCGAACCGATTGGTCGTGAAAGTCCTGCGAGCCAGGAAAGCTGTTCACCCTCGGGGGGGCGTAGTAACATCGGCGGTGGGGTGGCTGTGAAGATAGGTAGGGAGGCAGGGCCGGTGCGAAGCTTCGGGCCGCGTGCAAGAAGCGCCGCAGTTCGCATCCAGGCAGCGTGGCGTGGCTACCGTGCTCGCGAGCACGACGAGCGCGTGCGGGCGGCCCGTGGGGAGATGCGACTGAGGCGCCTGCAGGAGCATGTGGTGTACCTGGCACAGGAGCTGGAAAGGTTCGTCTCTTTCCTCGCATGAAGCCGAGGGAGCCACACTCCGAAACACCATTGTTATTCCTTACGCCTTCGTTATGACCCTTGTCGGCAGCTTTGTCATCATCACCTCATTTTTAGTTATATTAGTACATCGTTGCCCATGACCAGAATGCACCCGATCCCATCAGTTGTCGAGCTGAGCAGACTTGACCCCGGATAGCGCTTGGATGGGCCATTATAATTAAACAAGTTTTCAGAGGGCTGCGGAGCTACATTGCAAACAGCAGAGGTTAATGCAACAAATCAATAGTATGGTCCTATTCTCCCAGGTCTGCTCACTGCCTCCACCATCCTGAACTTATCAGTGCAGTATGGTTAAATAACACACGCATGACCTGAATAGTGTGGGGAGGCCCTAATTCAGCAGTGGGTTGACATGCACATATTAGTACACCGATATATTGGGTTTGGATTCGCTAATACCAGAGTTTGGACAGCCTCTGCGCATGGTCTTGCAATGTACATTTGGTCACCATATCAGTGGTAATTACGTTTTCAGGACACATCACGTAACCCAACAATGTGCCTGATATGAATAATTCCTCTTTTTCTGGTGCGTAACTTTCACCAGGCTGAGAAGCATGCACGAGGCGGAGAGAAGGGAGCGGCTTGTGCAAACTGAAGCTGTCAAGTATCTGTGGAGTCAGGTGCGGGTTCATCAGTTATTCAGTCGTCTTTGAATTTGAGGCTGTAATGTCACTCTTTGTGTGCCATTTTGTGACGTGTGTGACCATGCATTATGTTTTTCTTAAATGTACACTAAGATCCCCGTATAGCCTTAACAGACTGTTGGGGAAGTGCTGTTCACGAGCACCTATGAAGGCCGGCATGGCACATGAGGGTATGGGTGGCCAGCACCACGCCCGGCCGCCAATGTCTCCCCAGTAATGTTTTTACACACCGCAACAGGTACTCATTTGAGGCCGAGTTGACCTAGGGGAGGCCCAGGACCGGTTCAGATAATCGTCACTGGTGTTGGCCGTGAGCGGGAATCGAACTCGGGTCACAGGGTTTGTAGCGCAGCGTGCTAACCGCTACACTACCGCTCCCCACTTAAATGTACAACTATCTTCATCACAAGCTGCTGTTTTGTGTTGATTGTTTTAACAGGTGCGCACCCTACACGAGTGGAAAGAAGAGTTCACTCAGTCGATCCGTATGCAGTCGACGTTCGCCGGCCAAAAACCTGAATCTCAGGAAGCCCTGCCTTTAGCAAATGAGCGGTCTGCACAAGGCACCGCCGACAAGGAGAGTGCAGCGTCTGTTGAAAGCGAAGCTTCTGACTCCGACAGCTCGGATGACAGCGATTCCAGTGGCTGGTCGGAGGGAAGACCGGAGGACACCCCAAGCCACGCTCCTCATGGTGTGGCAGTCCAGAGCTCCCCCAGTGATGGGGAGCCCAGTCTCACTCAAGAGTACCTTCATTCGGTGCAGCTGATGGTGGAGGAGGAGGAGAAGGAGGAAATGGTGCCAGAGCCCGAAGGATCGGTCAATTGCACCCTCAACTATGAGACATCCGTCGACCTGTCTGGGCAGCTACCTCAGGATGATTTGAGCGAGCGATCGCCAGTCGGTGGTCAAACTCGCCCTGAAGCTCTCACTGCGGGCGTTCCAGCAGACACTGTGACCACGGCCCCTCCTGGTGAAGTTCTGCCATCTGCTGAGCTGTCTGCAGAGAGCAGATCGGCGGATGCAGTGGCAGAAAACGGATCGGTGGACGTCTCGGAGGCGTCTTCAGGGTTCCGAGTGCCCAGCCTTGTGCCAGACAGTGCCACGTGCGGTTGTGAATCAGACGTCCACGCTGTATCTGATGAAGCAGGCCTGGATCTTCCCAAGGCTGTACCGCCACCACCACCTCTGTCGCCGCCTGAAGTTGGCGTGCCTCCTGTTGCCGCTGGCACGGTGGGTGCAGACGACATCTCTCTTGCTGTGGAGAATGTGCCAGGGGGGCAAGCCCTGGGCGTTTCTGTTGATGCAGATGGACAGGATAGATTGCACCAACTCGCGCAAACAGAAACACCAGTTTCCAAGCAAGCCATGTCGCTCTCACGAGCCTCGAGCGGGCACAGCAGTTTGGTGAGCCTGGTATAAAACCAGCGAAGGGTTTTACAATTTAAATGAGTGCCTGCTACAGCTGAAATATATTTTCCCTCAGAATAATTGCCATTTAACAAGTGCCTTGGTTTTGCTGTCATTATACTATGCTGTTTTGGAGTGCCATCGTGTGTGCAGGCTTATTCAAGTGTGCCGCTTTATTTAAATGCCTGGTTGTCCATTGTGTTTTTTTGGGTTGCGCGTTCTCTTGTATTGCAAGTCTGTCATGTGGATGTGAATGCTGGTGTTGGTGATGGATGTGGGTATTTATGTGGATGGGATTGTGAAGAGTGGGATATTGAAGCTCGGTCAGTTTGTCACACACATTGGCAGACTTTCCTGTATTCAAGTCCCTTTAAATCGTACATCTTGATTTTTTTTATTGAAGGCACTTCTTTTCCCAGGAGGTAGCTTTTCCAGAAGGAAAAAAACAAGCAATATGTTGAAAAATAAATGTTTCATTCACATGTTCATATTCAAATATACACATACCTTTATGACATTAAGCTTGTGTGCTTGCTTGACTGATTTGTTAGGATATTGTTTGGCTCGTGCCATTACAATTGTATATTTGCAATCTTGCAGTGATTTATGGTTGTAGTTTCATAAAAAAATGTACATGCAAATCTCAAAAACTAAAGTCTGTAATTTAACCTGCAATAAGGTAGCAAAACGGAAACTGCAAGTGAAGTTACAGGCATGTCTCGCTCAACGAGCTAAATATGCGAACATTGCCCGTTAAGAAAAAACTCGTTAAACAATCGTCGTTTTCCCATTGACTCCAATGTTAAAAGGTGAGTTGGGTTTCAGCCCCATAATGTGCCACTCCTGAATTACTTTTTTGAACGTGAGAAATACAAATGATAATTTTAAAATAAAGTAGTAAAAACACCAACACATGAAGAACCACAATGGTTGCAGTTGCCTATCCTCAGCACCTGAAATTAATTAGCGCTGCCACTCACCCCTTCCTGACCGAGTGCAACCGAGGCAGGCCCCCTTCCCCCACGGCGAATCGCGCACGATGCACAGCTGGTCCATTGCAGGCTGCAGTGCGCCCCCTTTGCCTCCGCTCGTTGCGCGAACATTTGCTCGCTTTGCGAACAAATTGGTCAATTGAAATTGCTCGTAGTGAATTCTTCGTAGAAAGGATGCTCGTTAACTCGGGCACACCAATATTGTCTCGTGTTCTTTACCTCTGTAATTTTGTTGGCGCCATGAGGCAGGGCGGGCAAGCATTTACGTACGATTTGAATATCACGATGCTTAAATTATTTTTAATGCACATTGAGTTATACTAATCGATTGTAATTAATGAATTGAACAATAATTGCATGGCTAAACGTTGCCTTGCGCTTCAGCCCCAGAAAGTGGATGAACTCCAATTGACTTGGACACAGCGGTCGTCATTGATGGAGGCCTTGGTAATTTGCGGGGAGAGCTGTCCAAGAGTTTGACAAAAAATGTCTGTTTGGGCTGATCCATGGATAGTTCTCGACTGCAGATTCACCAACAGTAAAATTGGTTCTCTCAATGACTCCGACTTCTTTCCATTACCCTCGATGAAATCTCCCTGGGGTAGACTGCTTCGTTTGAGCTGTATTGAGGATTCGCATAACTTAGAACTGAAAGAACCAGAATAAGTCTACATTATAGACTGCCAGTACGCTCACTCAGGTGAAGAACCAGGCTACAGTCTACATTATAGACTGCCAGTATGCTCACCGAGGTTAAGAACTAGGCTACAGTCTACATTATAGACTGCCAGTACACTCACCCAGCTTAACCATTGCTACAGTCTACATTATAGACTGTCAGTACACTCGCCAAGGTTAAGAACCAGGCTACAGTCTACATTATAGACTGCCAGTACAATCACCCAGCTTAACCATTGCTACAGTCTACATTATAGACTGCCAGTACACTCACCAAACTTAACCAGGCTACAGTCTACATTTTGACTAGCAATCCACTCCGATTAAGAACCAGGCTACAGTCTACATACCTCGTTTTTTATTCACTTGTGACTTTACCGAAAGAACCAAAGAATATAAATTCCTGCAGTCACGAAAGTTTTGAGTCAACATTACAATTTCTCCCAATGTGTTTTTGTCCAATTGGAGAATATTTGGTCCACAGATATCAATCTGTCGAATTGCCCCGGTGTTTACAGGCTTTGATGAAAGCATTTAAAAATTGGGGCAATGGCTTACAGGTGGCTTATTTCGCTATTCGCGCTTTTGTCAATGCCACATTTTTCAGCAAACAAGAACACAGACATTGAACATTGCGAGTACCCTACGAAAGCTATTAAAAAAAATCGGTGTTTTGATGTTGTGTAGGTCACATTTATGAACCTGCAATAACTAGTTCTTCAGTGAACCTTCCATAATATGCACTTCATAATTTTAGTTTGCAGTTAAAAAATGTGTTGGCCTGCTGTAAGGCAGATTGACATTAGCAAACAACTGGGAGCTCAACACAGTATGTGTGCTAGTTACGGAACGCAGTCTACCTCTGGATAATCGGAGCCACAACTGCTGTAAGGTCGTGTTAAATATGAACTTGATAAAAACCACACTTGATAGACATTACAGTTGTTTAATCGTTGACAAACCATTGTGGCTTTAAAAAAGCACTTAGGGCAGTGTGACCAGATACATGCAGATGGTGTGCAATGGAGAAACAAGGTGCTCTGACACCACGTTCCTTATTTTCAAGTTTATGCCTCGTGTTTACTGTGCAAGCGAAAATGATTCCGGTCCGAGTGTTTTTTTGCAAATGAGCTGCTGGAGATGTTCACTGCAAGAGTTGATAACAGGAAGCACATGTGGTTGACATTTACTGGGACATTTGCAAACTATGAGTGGTTGCATCTTCTGTTGCGAACTGCTATTCGTTCCTGCATTTTTCTCCAAGCCGCACAAGTCAATGATTTGAATCATACATTCGCTCTAAGCTGTAAGTCATTGATTTGAATTGTACATTCAAAACGAGAGGAGCATTTGTAGTTCTGTAGTGTATACGCACTTGTGAGCATGCAATCTTTTTCGAGACCACGATCCTTTTTTTCTTGGACTTTTTTAAAAGGCACTGATCGCTTAGTGGCATCAGCCTGACGTAGAAAACTATCTGCCAGAAAAATAATGCATTTTTAGATGGGAATTCAAGCGTTCAGTAAGGGGCATTGGTTTGAATTCTATGCTGGACCATGATGTGCCTTGAAATTGTTGTGCTGTGCGTTTGGCTCACGACAGCTGTGCACCGTGACGTTGAGCTTCTAATAAAATTGACTGTCATTGCACAGTGTGGTGCTTTTCAAGCACTTCAAATATTCGATTGTTTTATACCAAGTATTTTTTCATAAGAATATTTAAATATATTCCCTTGGCTCTTTTTGTGCTCTTTGCCCCTTAACCTCCAGTATCACTTGAAAAAGAAGAGTGGCATCCGAATAGCCACCTCTGGCGAGATAACATTTCGGTGGCGAGATGTCAACTCCCTCGCATGGTCTACAGGAGATCGTACCCGACGCCTGTATATTTTGAATTTGCGTGTTCTCCCCGTGGTCGCGTGGATTTTTATCCAGGTCCTCCGGTTTTTCCCTCCACATTTAGAATCAATGTGGTTAGGGTATTTGGCTACTATACATTTCCACGTGATAAGCCACTTCGTCGAGCAATCAATGAAGTGGCTAGATTGCTTCTGAAAAAGGGCTACATAGCTCAGTGGGCCTTATCTGGTAAAATAAAAAGTTCTGTTTAGTTGTCTAAGTTTAGTTTATTTTGGAATGCTACATGAGGCCTAACTAACAAACAGCCCCTAACTCTTAATTTGCAAACGCCATAATCAATGTCGGATCAACTTAAAATACCTGGGAGCAATTATCACTGATGGGAAGGCTAAAGGGTAGCAACAGTAATCCTTGCAAATATGGATACCATATGGAAAATAAATGTTAACACATCAATAAAGATTTAATTCTTTCAGGAATTGAGGTCAGTGGTTTTGTATGCATGTGAAGATGGATTCTGCCCGCTGAAGATGAAAAAAGAACAGGCTTTTTCAATTATTTTTTAAAAGTAATTATGAATGGATAGGACACCTAATTAAAATGTATGCACCACAGTTGCTGCCCAATCAGGACACAAAGGATTACTTCTATCTGCCATTAAACTAGGAAAACTAAAGTTCTTTGGGTATATCAATCGATGCAGAAAAGGCTATACAAACAATACTACAAAGCACCACCGGACATTGAGGGAACTAGAAAAACGGGGTGCTTTAGGAGACGAAGTCAGAACATCGCAGACTGGGCAGGCTTATACCACACCCAGCTGTTTTGTGAGGTTAAGGATCAGGAAAGGTGGAGGGAGATCATGATCAAAGCTGCCAGCGCAGTGCCCAAAAGACCTCATCATCAGACTGGTCATGGGAGACGGATAATGAACGCACAGAATTAAGACCCACAGCAGATGGATTGAGACATCGACCACAACATCACCATGGCATTTGAATACCACATTCTCCAAAACATGTGCACATGAATGTACTGTGAATAAAAAAAATATTGTATCCAGTTTAAAACTGCTGGGAATACTTAAAACAGGATGAAAGACATTTGTCAAGCGGAAACACCCACGTTCATAATACCTGATTTGCATGTGAAAAAAGGCACTCGTGAAGTCAGAAGGATTTGGGGAATTCCACAAAATAATTGCAGGGTGGTACAGCAATTTTCTGGATTTCTGTTCTGTTTCATTTATACTTGGGCTTGTTTGTATGTATCTAATCTAGTGAGACAACCATGGCTAACAGCGAGAAATTCTCATCCATTACAAAAGACTTAAAATATATCCAGGACCTGAAACTAAAAACTTTTATTTTACAAGGTAAGGCTCACTTGCTCTTTTTCAGTAGCGATCTGGCCACAAATGATAGCTCAATGAAGTGGCTAATCACGTGGAAATTTAAAGCAGCCAAATTCTCTAAACGCATGTTTCTAAATATAGAGGGAAAACCCGAAGGCCCTGAAGAAAAAAATCAACACAGTGGGGAGAACATGCAAACTCTAAATATACAGGCATCAGGATCGAATGTATGTATGTTGAACTTATTTCGCACCATACGTAGACAACCGTGCTAATCGAAGGGTCGGGATTAAACCTCCCCCGGCCTCCTGTATACTAGGGGAGGTAGTTAACATCTCGCCACTGTGGCGTCGGTGGCGAGATGACCTATCAGGGCGAGACGGAGGAATAGTGTGCAGAATTTCAGACACATGGTGACTACGATCTCCAGGCTGCAGATGAAACATCTACCTTTATAAATAAGAGGCGGTGTGCACTGACTTCATTCCATAAGTATTCGTATTGCCAGCTGCCTTCATGTGTACCCATCCCTTTATGATTCAAATATTAACATTAATTCTGTAGCACTTATTTAACAGAACTGAGAGAGGCAAGATAGCACAATGACAAGAGATGCAACTGTTGTTCTTTAATTATAATTATAACTTTTATTTACCAATTACCACACGTGTTGTTTACAAGAAGGCTCCGCATTATTGAATGACACCTGTATACAAACTGGCTCTACCGGACTGCGTGTGGTTTGACGATAATGCAGACCTGTTTGTAATTCCATTAAACGTTTGTGTACACGGCTGTAGCTCCACTGGGATGAAGTCAACACGTTCAAAATATTTTTTTTTTTAAAGACATCCCAGCAGTGCCCAGGTTAACGAATCACAATGCCGAAGTAGCCATCTCTCACACCAAGTCACAGGGATTCAGACTCGAAAGTGCAAACTCATGAATATAGTAAATGCGGTGTCATGTTGCGCGGCTCATGTATTGTAAAGTCTCCTTGGGGTGGAAATCAGCGGTTGCAGCTCAATGCGGGATGAGGTCACCGTGCAGTCGACGAAGTGAATGAGATTTCCCGTGGGGTGGGGGCGGTTTTGGTTGAGATCCACCTGGAGTTAGAAGAAGGTCTCCCGGCACAAGGGGCATGTGGACTTATTGCTGGACGTGAACCACTTGTACTGCAGCACAGCACGAGCACACAGGAAGGGGAGCACGCGCACACACACACACGCTGTCAGCAATCGTCACCGTCACGTTTCTTTTGCAGAGTGTTTTGCTTGAAGGGCCTCGAAACAAAACCCGCTCTCAGCTCTCTCGTGATCCACGCTTCTTAAAGACACCAGCCGAAAAACAGCTCTTACCGTGCAGATATGTACCCAAGCTATACATTGCTAATGTGAAGAAACATTAAAGTTAGCATTGAGCTCCTGCAAAAGGGTTCTCTGCTGACATTGCTGCATCGATCTATTAAAGTGTGTGGGTGGGATGCCAACTACAATTGAATTGATGCCCTCATCATCGATGTCATCCCCAAATGTCACCGTCGGCCCCCACAGACGGTTTTTGTCTCCCCTCCCCCTCTCGTCTCAGTGAACCCCCGCACCCCCTACAATGACAAAGATCCCCCGTATAGCTTCAACAGGCTGTTGGGGCAAGTGCTGTTAGCGAGCACTTATGAAGGTTGGCACGGCACACGGGGGGGGGGGGGGGGGGGGGCGGGGGGGGTGGTTGAGTGGCTAGCATCATGCCCGGCTCCATTTGTCTCCCGAGTGGCGATGGTTAGATACCGCACCAGGGACTCATTTGAGACTGAGTTGACCTAGGGGAGCCCCAGGACGGGTTCAAATAATCATCACTGGTGTTGGCCGTGAGCGGGATCTGAACTCTACTCACCGGCTTCGTAGCGCAGCGCCCTAACCGCTACACAGCTACTGCTCCCCATACCCCCCCCTACCCACACCCCCCCTACCCCCACCACTCCAGCCCCGCTCGCACCAGGCACGCCGCGTGGAACTTCTTGCGGCACGTGCGGCAGGCCTTGCGCGGCAGGGAGTAGTTGGAGCCGTGGATGACGGAGTAGCAGATGGTGCACTCCTCCACGCCCTCGAAGCGCTTGTCCACGTTGGACTTCCACAGCGCCAGCCCGTCCATGATGCTTCCGTTCTGAGGAGGGGGAGGGGGGGTGGAGGAGGGTAACGTGGATGGGGCCAAGCTTCCGTGTGTAGCTACAGCGGTTCAGGTGCACGGAGGCCAGGTGGCTCAGAGGTCAGTGGTGAGCTGGCACCGCTGAGGACCCGGGTTTGAATCCAGGCAGTCGCCTGTGAATAAACCAAATTCTCCAGAATGATCTCAAGCCCGGCCAACATTGACTGCACGCAATGAAAACCATTGCATACAAATTTGGTTCCGCATTTAATTTACCTACATTTCAGCACTGAGGAATAAAAACAAATATTGGTGTCACTGTCATGCATCGAACCATTACTCTCAGTGGCATAGCAAGTGGGAAAGTGCTGTCCCATACTGTGGACCAAATGTCACTGAAGTAGTTTTGCAATATCCGCTTGCGTGGGCTGTACTCTCACTGCCCAGAGAGAGAGAGAGACCCAACTGTATACTTGGTAGTGGCGGTTAACACGCTGCTATGACAACGGCTGTCAAGGTGCAACAGCGGTGGGTTGGCAGAGCTGCGGTGTCGCCCATACCTGGTGAGTGAGGAAGGTGCTCAGCTGCAGCATCCAGTTCCACCACTGCTGGCTGGCGACCCCCACGCGTTTCCCGCACTCCACGGCCACCGGCCCCAGCGGGTGGTTCGGCGGCAGCGTCACCACCAGCTCCATGTACACCTCCTCCACGTTGTACGTGGCCACCACCTCACGGGCCGCGGGCCGGGCACGAACCTGCGGAAGCCGCGGCGACGGCCGTGATTATTATTATTTTTGGTCAATTTTATTCGATCGCGGTTGCCGAGCGCAGGTCCTAAAAAGATGGCAAAAATTCCAAGCGGGACAGAAGCAAACTGACCAACGTAGAAGTGAGAAAAGGGTCGCACGTTGAAGAAGACAGCCTGATCACGATGCAGGCAGTGGTGGGAAGGAAACCGGCACTATTTGGACACGTGTAGGATGGACAGCAACAGGAAGATTTTAAAGTGTGTTGTTTTGAGAAAAATGGAAGGAAGCGGAAATAGAGGAAGACCTAAGAGAGAATGTCTTGACGACATCACAACAGATTGGTGCCGGAAAGATGTGGCACTACTTGAGCATATTGGCACAAGACAGGAAAGTGGGAACAAGAGAGGAAACGTGCGTGGACACCTACGGGCTATCTGTCCATGGATCGTGACAATGATGAGAAACAAATGGCAAACAGCACTCTTAAGGTCGTAATATATATAAAGAGTCGATATGTGAATTGAGCCAAGGTTATAGGAGCTTGGGAAAAAGAGACGATGGGTGGGAATTCTGAAGCGGAGCAGTGCGAGGGAAGGAGACGGAGTAGTGTTTTGACCTGCCGTGTGGCGAGTGGGCAACGTGGGTGCAGGAATTCACGAGCGAAGTTCCAGCTGATAGTAAATATTGTAGTGGCAAGAGAAGAGCGATAAGGAGGCTGGAGACCCCTCCCCAGTGAGTGAATTAGTGACTGCAGTGAATCAGTGAGAGCTCGACCATCAATCAACCCGACGACTCTACGTTTGCATTCTATCAAGTGGCGTGGGGTGGGGGACCCAGCTGCTATCTAACATGGGAGTAACTGCACTGCTCTGCGAGAGATCTGTACAGACACTTCAATTCAATGTATGTAGCCAACCATGGTAATCGGAGGTGCGGAGGAGCGGAAGGAGAACAAACTAAACACACAAAGTAGTTCTAAAGACATTAGTTTTCAATCGAGATTTAAAGTGCATAGCTCCAGTGGCTTCCTAATAATATAATCGGATGCAAGAGTGTTCCATGTGTCCGTAGAAGCGCATCTTAAAGCGCGCGATGCAGTGACCGTCTTTGTTCGATGGCGAGCCAAAAGCCGCTACGAGGATGACCGGAGTCTGCGCGATGGTTTATGATGCTCCTTGACGAGATCAGCAAGGTGTTGTGGGTCATTTGTGGCAAGCACTTTTTGCGTCATGAGTGCAACCTCAGAACGTATTCGTTCGGCAAACTAGCTGCTAGCCAAAAGCTGCTGCGAGGACGTGACTCCGATCGAACACAATTGAAATACAAATGGGGGATGGGAAAAGAAAGCGTGAAGAAAGAAAGCAGTGTGCTGCCCGCACCGTCATGTCGTGGATGCGCCGGCCGGTGGCCTGCACGGCGGCTATCTCCTGCGCCGACAGCACGGGGCTGGCGTGTCGGCTCGTGAAGCGCTCCACCACGCCCGACACGCGCTTGTCCTGGTTGTTCCACCAGAGGCGCACCATGGCCGGCAGGCAGCGCAGCGCTTCGGCGTACACGCAGCAAGCCAGGTGCGGCACCTCCGCGGGCAGCGCCGCGACGCCATCGTCTGCGGGAGGGGGACGCGGGGGACGCGACGCGTGTGCGGCGGGGCCCGGAGAGGCCGCACGGCCGTCGCGCAAGTCGCACGTCAACTACGATAACTAAACTATAAACTATTTTTGTTTTAATCTTACCAGGTAAGGCTCACTGAGCTACATAGCTCTTTTCTCAGAAGCGACCTGCCCGCAAACGATAGCTCAACAAAGTGGCTTACCGTCACGTGCGAAATTGATAGCAGGCAAATACTCTAAAACGCATGACGTTGATTCTAAATGTGGAGGGGAAAAACCGGAGGACCCGGAGGAATATCCACACCACAGGGAGAACATGAAAACTCAAAATATACAGCAGGCGCCAGGGTCGGAATCGACCCACACACTCCTGTATACCAGGCGAGGGAGTTAACATCTCGCCGCCTGGCCGATGCCTAAAACCGAGCACTTTTGCGCTAACTCTAACCTGAATGTAACCTTCAATCACAATTTAAATGTAACGTAAACCTGACCCTACCACGGATTTTAAAAGTAAATCCGAACCAAGTTGCTGTTGTCAGCCTGAAATTTCTCATTTCTGAGCAAAGGCATCCTCCATTTCCCTCCCATCCTTTATTGTTCTTGTCCAGTAGTGGCCTCCAAAGTTCATGATATAAACCCAATATCGCTCAAACTCTAACACAAGCTCTAAACCTCTGAGTAAAATCTGAGCATAACTGAATACTGACCGCTGACTGTCTCAGCGTCTGATTAGCAATGATCAACTACGTACGCCAAATTCGCACACACAGTGACGATACACCACAATGCAATTTGGATTTAAACAGCATCTAAATGGGATCGCATCTCAAGATGCTGTACAGAGACAGAGGAAGATCTTGAGCATCGATTTGAAAAGGGGCTGGGAGCTGACAGCATGGAGAACTGGGGGAAGTGTGACAATCACACACGCACACACATCTAATCTCATTTCTATTTATAGACCGTCTCACTCAAGGCGCTTGACGTAGTTTACAAAACGATGACAGCATGAAATGATGTAATTGGCGGGGGGGGGGGGGCGTACTCGGATTGAGGAATGGGCACCACGATAGAGAGGAGTACTTAGGAATCACGAAAGGGTAGGGGAGGGACGGGAAGGAGTGGAGCGGAGTGGGGAGGGAAGAGGAAGAGAATGGGCAATAGAGAAGAGGTGGAGCTTTAAGAGAAGAATGGAAGAAGGTTGAGGGGGGGACTGCTTAATGTGCAGGGGCAGCGTCGAGTCTATGGGTCAGCGTCGAGTCTATGGGCAGTGTTGAGTCTATGGGCAGCATCGAGTCTATGGTGCAGTGTTGAGTCTATGGGCAGTGTTGAGTCTATGGGCAGTGTTGAGTCTATGGGCAGCGTTGAGTCTATGGGCAGCATCGAGTCTATGGGTAGTGTTGAGTCTATGGGTCAGCGTCGAGTCTATGGGCAGCGTCGAGTCTATAGGCAGCGTTGAGTCTATAGGCAGCGTTGAGTCTATGGGCAGCATCGAGTCTATGGGTAGTGTTGAGTCTATGGGTCAGCATCGAGTCTATGGGTGGTGTTGAGTCTATGGGCAGCGTCGAGTCTATGGACAGTGTTGAGTCTATGGGCAGCGTTGAGTCTATGGGCAGTGCTGAGTCTATGGGCAGTGCTGCTCAATGTACAAGCGAAGTTGATTCCAGTGGAGGGGTGCACGCAGTCTAGCCCACCTGTGAGTGCCAGTGGCGGAGGCTCCGTGAACATGCTCCGCGTGGCTTTGTCCGTGGCTCCCCCACAGCTTCCGGCGCCGGAGAGAGACGGGGTGGTCGAGGGGAGAGCCGGACTCTCCGGCATGAGCCTGAACAGTCCCTCGAGCAGGCGGCTCAGCGAGCCCTGCTCGCGGATAAAGCCCGAGTACTGCACGCGCAGCTGTGTGGGGGCGGCGCAGACGTGGGGCGAACAGAAGGACAGATGGGACGAGACGTGTGGACTTCAAAACCAAGTAAGAATTCGTTGCCTAGGACCAAGTCCATGGGAGCGAGGGCAATGAGCAAGGTTGAGCCTAGACAGTGCGTGCATGGGTGACCACCATGCACAGATTGTAATTGGGCCGTGAGGCTAAGCGGTGGACTGCAGAGGGTTGTGGAGAGAAATCCATTGTTGTACTGTAGTTCTATGCTCCAAAATGCATCCTCCCCACCTGCACCAACCTGCACTTACCAGGGTGGTGAAGTATGGTAAAAAAAACCCCATGATCGGAAGGTGTCAAGAGGCCTTCACCCAGTAGTGGACCGACAAAAAGAGCCGTATAAGCACACAATGACGATGAGGATCGTGCTGTTAATGTCGACGACGATGATGGTCATGAAAATGACGATGCTCTTGGTAAAGGAAGACACTACCCTAAATCACATCATAGCCCACCACAATATGCCGTGTTCTGTGCTGTCCAACACAAACGTAAACACTCACGAAAGAGAATTTATCTTTAAAGTCACAGTCAAGCAAATCATTACAGCACTCTCGTGACGTCACTCCGACATCGCTCCCACACGAGATCACTCGAGCACACGACATCAGCACACTCGATCGGAACCCTAAATCGATTTTGTGTTTTACTTATTAACAAAGTAACAGGTTTATTCTATACCCATTACCCAGTGACTGAATTAATGAAACGGCAAGTCCGAGTCTATGGCCTCGCTCTGCTGCTGCGAGGGGTGGGAGGGGGGACGGGGGTGGGTGGGGGAGGGTCGCACCTCTGACGAGGCGGCCTGGAAGAAGCTGAGCAGCAGTTTCCACGCGAGCAGGTAGCCCAGCGTGGTGTGGTACGCGGGCGTCAGCGGCTCCACGCGCACCGGCTCGCCCACCGGCACCGGCGCCAGCAGCTCCAGCAGCTCCTCCTCCAGCGATGCCAGCACGGACCACAGGGCGGCCGGGGGAGACCTAGCGCCGGGCGAGACGTCAGTTTGGGCCCCCCCCCGCTCGTGAAACTTTATTTCGTTGTGGGTCGAAGGTGAGGTGGCACTCACGTACTGCTGGGACCGGAGGAACACCACACCAATGTTTGTGTCACTGTTGAGAGTACGGAAGTGGTCGGTGACTTTATTTTGATGGCAACATTTGATTGGTTGAATGATCATTTGTAATTTACGTTGATTCTTTGTGTGTTCATGCACACCACTAAGAATATGTTTTCACCTATACCGTACATGTTTAATTAAACTGGCTGCATCTCTCTTGTACGCTAGAGCACCTTTAGAACGAGTCACCTGCATAATAGGCATGCCGGATACGAGTTGTCTTGTATACAAGGTAAGTGTTGTCACCCAAATAAAAATCCTTTAAAGGTTTTTTTTATATATATAATAAATATTTTTTTACATATGATTTGCTAAAATAACACAAGACACAATTCTGGCCACTCGATCGTGCTAGCCACAGGAAAGCCCTCATCACTCAACTCACACTACGAGTGAAGTGGCTTCACTGATAAGTCTCGACACGTGGCGACAATGTTGGGGAAGAAAGAAACCACCGCGGACGGCGTGCGAGGCTGGACAGGACGATCACGCGGGCCACTCACAGGCACGACTCCGTCTCCCCCTCGTCTTCCGGCTTTGCTTTCCCGGTGTCAAACGCCGGCAGCTCGGGCATGAGCCTGAAGAACACAAGGCGGCAGACGGCAACACAATTCAGTACCACACACGTCACACACTGGGGCAGTATTAGCAGTCGGCACGCGTGCCACTGCTGGTCCCACATACTATTCAGGGCTTTCATTCATTCCGCTATATGAAGCTGATTACTTATACATTGCTTCTCATCTTTGTTTTCTTTAACGTACAGCAGCTGTGGAGTATCTACTACTTCCGGAGGGCCAAATAGGACGTTAAACTCCGGTTGCGGGCCAAGCATTACCCACACACACACACACACCTCTGTCACTTCTGCCACTGCAAGACACCCTTGCAGTAGCAGAAGTGAGTGAGCACAACAAATTAAAAGCAGAGGACACAAAAATATTCCGCCCCGAGCATCCGCTTAGTGCAGCTAAGACGCTTGCAGTGAGGGATACTTATTGTTTGTAGGCCATTTTTCAGTGGTAGGCCTCTTATGGTTGTGGGCCATACGAGTGGCGAGACAAATACGAGCCGCGGGCTCCAGGTTATTCACTCCCTGACGTGCAAAAACAACATTGTACCGTCATCATTTGCAAAAGCAGGCCAACGTGTACTGGTATAATAACCCAAATCTGTAGCATGATAATTGTCCGTGGCGAGTTGCAACAGGCTGGAGCCGAGGTACGGTGGTGAGAGCGCGCTGCTATGAACACGATGACCCGAGTTTCTGTGGCGAGTGATATCCGAATCGTTCCTGAACATCTCCGTTTCGCCAATAATGCACAGTGAGCAAGGGTGTTGACATGGAAAGGCCTTAATCCAGCGGTAGATACTATTACCAACCTGGCAAGCCGGGCCATTAAGCCAGCCATAATTTTGACAAGGGGATTTGACTGTATAAACAAATGCAAGTTTGAACACATGCAGATTCACGTACAGATGGATGCATCTGAATGTTAGGCACGCGAGCTCACACTCAAATGCACACACCCTAATGTACGAGTGCTTAAACGCAAACGCCCATGTTCCAATGAAGCCGTGGCAATTACTCGGGCAAACAGACATTACACATCTTCGTCTTTTCCTCCGATTGTACTCCAATTGTGCGAAGTGAAGAGGCAAAAATAATCCATTTACAACTCTCCGTGGCAGTGCAACATCCCGTGCAAGAGAACGGTCCATGTATTATCACAGTTGTTCTTGTAATATGTCTTAAAAGTGCCATCTCATGCTCACCAAGCGGCTCAGCAGGAGAGTGAGCGGCGCAAAGTCACGAGGTTGCTTAATTCCCGGTTACGTAATAAAAAATAGTTTGGTTTTATTATTCTTTTTGTTTGTGATTTGCTTAGCTTTTATGTACACTTTGCACTCTCATCGTATTTTTGGATTGTTTGTTGTTGTAACTTTCTGACTGGCCCTACTGGACAACTGTGAAAAAGAGCTTCACAGCTCATCGGATTCCTCCAGTATGAATAGAGATTCTGATTCTGAACTCAGCCCATCATTCCAGTGGGGGTCGAACGATTGAGCACCATTTTGTGTGCAAGTCCACAGTGAATATCCTATGGACAGGCTCACTCAGTCGTAGGAAATTCCCTCCCACTGGCTCAGGTTGAGCGCTGCTTCGATGTCCAATCAAGCTGGCAACCACTTTTTAAACTGTTTTTGTTATTTATCAGGTAAGGCCCACTGAGCTATATAGCTCTTTTTCAGAAGCGACCTGGCCACAAATGAAAGCGCAATGAAGTGGCTTAAGTGGACATCTATAGCAGCCAAATAATCTAAATAATCTAAACGCATGTTTCTAAATGTGGCGGGGAAAAAACAGAGAAAAACTATGCGACCGCAGGGAGAGAGACACCATGTAAACTCCAAATATACAGCAGGTGTCAGGGTCGGGATCGAACCCACGACCTCCTGCATACCAGGCGAGGGAGTTAACATCTCCTAGCCACCGTGGCGCCAACTTTGAAGGGGGGGGGGGGGGGGGGCACCCGGTTTGCTTGCGCAACTCGTGGCGACGAGCCTCCTCACTTGTCGAGCATGTGGAAGGCGGCGAGCTGGGCGGGCCTCGCGGGCACGCCCAGCAGGGGCGCCAGCGTGTTGAGGGCCGTCTGCAGCGCGTCCGGCAGGTGGCTCCGCTGCCCGGCCACTAAGCGCGGTGGCAGTCGGTGTCCGTGCAACTGCTCCACAGGGATGGGGCCCAGGGCCTGCGCCGCGGCCTGCAGCAGAGCCAGGCAAGGCCTGCCGGGGCCGGTGCCCGCCGCGCCCACCGCGCCAGCTGTGCACGCACGAAGATGAACAACCCCGCCCCCGATGTGTTACCAATGCAATCGTCCATCCATCTTCATTCTATCGTCCGCCACCATCAAGTGTTTTAGATCTGTGTTTGAGCATCACTGGTAATGTGAGCGATACATTTTCTTCTTCACTTCAGGTCATCATCATCTGGCATGGTCAATCCACAGCTAGATGAAGCCCCCCCCCAAGCGGTCATCCATCAGTCCACCTGGCGTCTACACACACAAGCCGATTTGTTCATCGGTCCATCTCTGCAGTGGACATCTTGTGGGACGCATTCCAGCCATCGTCTCTCCATGTGACGTGTACTGCCCAGGCCCACTCATAATTACGTCACTAAGCTGCAGTACATTCTCAAATGTACATATTCCTATTTCTCTCTCTCTCTCAATATAATTCCAGGCTTGCAAGGTTGGGAGGGGTGGGGCGGGGGAACGATGCGTACCGCACAGGGACACAAACGCGGGCAGCAGCAAGCTGTAGGCTCCGTCCGCGAAGAACTCTGCCCACTCGGTGAAGAGGTGCGGAGGCACCGCAGCGGACGCCTCCTCCGGATCCACGTTCTCCGGCGGCGGCGGCGGCGTCGGCGCGGAGGCTGCGGCAGCGCCAGGTGGAGGCGCCTGCAGGAGGTCGGCCACCGACGCCAGCAGGCGGCAGTTCTCGGCCGCAAAAGCGAGCACGTGCAGCGACGCTCGTCGCGCGTCCCCCAGGCTCTCGCCTGTGCTCTGCGCGGGAGGCAGGGGGGGGGGGGAGAGGGGCAACACAGCACAGGGGTCGCGGTGACACTGCGGTCACGACCTGTCCCGAATAACACACCCACACGATTAACCCCTTTTCCGTTCCAATGACGTACACGTGGTGTACATCATCAAAACGAAACCGTAACAAAAATTTAAATAAAATTACTTCACCGGAACCGAGGCTCCGACAAGGCAATGCGGGAGGGCGTGAGCCACAGTTTGGCGCCAGCTATCATGGAGTGCGGTCGTGTCCCTACAGTTCTTTGCGGTGAGTACGTCTTTAAAAACGACGGTGCTACGCCTCTCTAAATAAAACAAACGCTGAGCCGCTCGTGCGTTCGGAGATTCAGAGGCCAATGGGACCCCCACCCTGCAACTTGCCGACGTAAGGGAAAGGCTTAACCGGGGCGGCCGCGGGGGCTCGAAGCGCGCACCTCCGCGACAAGCGACCGCAATATCGCGAAACGTGACCCCCACCCCCCTCCACCCCCCCGCCGTCGCGCGCTCCGCACGAACCTGCAGCCACGAGAGCATGGAGCACAGCAGGAAGTCCCAGTGGCGGTGAGAGAGCGGCGAGTGCGCAAACAGGAGCCCACGCAGAAACCGCATCATCTCCACGTTGCACGCCACCGCCGCCCCGTCCTCGCCCGACACGTCCCTGCCGCGCGGGCAGACGCAAAGGCAAAGACCGTTTGCCACCCACCCCACTGTGTGCTGTACCGGCCTTCAGCACTTGCCCCAACAGCCTATTAATGGCTATACAGGGGACCTTTGTGTTTGTCGTCATGTGCGATTGCTGTGTGTGTCTGCGTATGCATCTGTGTAACACTGACGGGTATGAGACTACGGCGTGTCTGTCTGCGTGATGGTTAAGAGCTGTGTGCGATTGCTGGACGCGTGTGCGTGTGCGATTGCCGCGATCGGCGCGTCCTCGCGGGCGGTTGGTTCTGACCGTGCGAACAGGAAGACATCGTCGCTCTCCTCGTCCCTCCAGGCAGAAAGCGTGTCCAGCGCCCTGTGCAGGCCGTCCGTGGGGAGCTCAGACTGCGACAGGAGGCACGCGGACAGCAGGGAAAGGCAGCCACGGCCCCCTGCAACACAAACGCACGGGACGCAAACAGCCCCCCCCCCCCCAAAACTAAGTCTCACGAGGGCCGTAGGGATACGTTGCCGTCAGTGATCGCCTACTAAGGCTGGCACGGCACGTGGCGGTGGGGCCGGCAGCATGCAGGCCCGGCCACTTGAAGCACTTAACCTGGGGGAAAAGCCCAACCCAGCACAGGCACCACGCGACCTTGGCGTTGTGCATCGCTGAAAGACCCCCAAAAACCCTGGCGGAAAAGTGTCAGAATGACCGACACCACTCGTGGCGAGTCCATTGATCGAGGAGAAGAAGAAACTGTCCACCTGTCTGTTTCCCAATTTGTCCCGAACATCTTTTTCTGCCTGCCTGTTGCTTTTATGCATCCCCTGCATTTGTTTACTTGTCTGACTGCCTGCCTATTCATCTGTCTGCCTGCCTATTCGTCTGTCTGCCTGCCTGTCTTTACGAATATCTGTCTGTCAGGTCTCTACCTGTCCGTCCGGTCTCTAACTGACTGTCTGCCTGCCCATCCAACTGTCTGCCTACTGTCTCTCTGTCCGTCCATCCATTCATCCGTCCGTCTGTCCGTCCACCTGTCCACCTGTCCCGTCTGTCTGTCTGTCCGTCTGTCCGACTGTCCACCTGTCCGTCCGTCCGTGCGTCCGCACGCCTATCCGCGGACATGCCTTGAGCTCGGGTGCGAGCGTCCGGCGGGCAGGACATGAGCAGGGCGGTGGCGACGTCCACAAGCGCGTGCGCGTCTGAGCGCGGCAGAAACGGAGCAAATGCCCACGCCGTGTGCAGCTTGGCCTCCGTGGGCTCCGAGAACCTGCAGCCGCAGCAGCCACAGCAGCAGCAGCAGCCACAGCAGCAGCCACAGCAGCAGCAAACGCGACGGCAGTCACCATATAGGACAAAAATATAAGGATCCTCCGTGTAGCCCTAACAGACTGTTGGGGCAAGTGCCGTTAGCGAGTAGCAGCTATGACTGCTGGCAAGGCAAACGAGGGGGTGGGTGACCAGCACCATCCCCAGTCGCCTTTGTCTCCCCAGTGGCGATGTTTACACCCCGCACCGGGTGCTCATTTGAGGCCGAGTCGCACAGCGCCAACAAGGAAGTTGGCACTGGCGGTCCAAACGTGACACCGTTCGAATGAGACACAGAGAGGTGATGACAGAGAGGCAACAGACGAATAGAAATAGGAGAAATGGCACAAGACAGTACAAAGAGTAGATAGGATGCACACTGCAAATGAGGAAGTATAAAGGTGACAGGCAGTACACGAATGCTATAGTAAGGAGAGAGAGGAGCACTGAGACACAGTACAACACAATAAAAGCGGTACAAACAAGACAGTAAAAACAGTACATGCAAGACACAGTGCAGGTGAGGTAGTACAAAGGAGACAGAAAGTACAACCGAAACGGTGCGTAGAGACAGTATCACCGAGTTCACAGTACAAGCAAGACAGTACAAGCAGTACACACAATACACAACACAAGGGAGACAGTACAAGCAATACACACGACACACAGCACAAAGGAGACAGTACAGAGGAGTCGGCAAAGTGCGGTGGGGAGAGCCCGGCGTCAGTGATGGCGCGAGCGCATCGCATCATACCACTCGACGGAGCCGTAGAGGGCCTTCACGTCCGTGTCGAGGCCTCGCCTGGAGGCTTCAGGCAGCGCGTGGGACAGGGCGAGGGCCCACAGGCCCCCGTGCTGCACGGATCTGTGCGGCCGCACGCGAGATAGAGACAGAGAGAGAAATAGAGGTCACGTTACTTATTAAAAGGTAAAAGCAAATGACAAAATCACCAAGAATGCTCCCCATCTTATCAGATCCTGGAAGCCAAGCAGGATTTAGCCTGAGCTTGCATGGGCAACCTCCATGCACGGCAAATTGTTAAAGGCTGCTTGCAGGTCTATGTGTGTGGACAGCAGAGGGTAGTGTCAGTGTTAACTCTGCAAATGGTCAAGAATGAAATAAAAATGTGAAAATATCTCTGTAAATTCAGAATTTTATTCCATGACATGGCGCTGTATGCAAGTTTACCTTGCGTTACGCTGTAGTAGTAGTCGATGCGTTCCGCAAAACCGAGTCAGCTACCTCACCGCATGTCGAGTGAATTCAAATTATAAAGAGTGAAATTTGTGCAGAAGTATTGTTAGCCGGATATACGCGGAACCGCACAAAGCGAACTTACACGGCTACACCGTGGAGACCTATGGTCAGTGTTCACATTTTGCTGAAACAGGTTCTGGTCTGGCCCCAGGTGAAACTTCTGGACGCGCACGCCCTCGATGAGCGGGCACAAAGCGTGCTTTGCTTGCGCCTGTAACCTAACGACTGATCGGTGCGGTAACGAATTGTGAACTGCATTATCCACCTACAGGTCCAGCTGTCACCCCTCCCGCTGTCCCGTCGTGCGCGTCACCTGTTAAAGAGCTCCCCGAGCAGCTGGCTGAGTGCGAGCGGTGGGGCAGCGGCAGGCGTGGACGGCGTGGACGGCGTGGGCGCCGCGCCCACGAGCCCCCAGCAGAGGGCACCGACGCAGGGCGGCAGGGACGGCCCGGCTGGGCCGGAGCGACTCAACCGGCACCACGTGTCCGCCAGCATGCACTCGCACGCCAGCTCCAGGCAGCACGCGGGGTCTGCGCGCAAACGGTGGGGCACCACGGTGGCGAGATGTTAACGCCCTCGCCTTCTATGCAGGAGGTCATGGGTTCGGTCCCGACCCTGACGCCTATATTTTCGCGTGGATTTTTCTCAGGGTCCTCCGGTTTTTCCCTCCACATTTATAAACACGCGTTTTAGAGTATTTGGCTCTTATAAATATCCATATTCTAAGCCACTTCGTTGAGCTATCATTCGTGGCCAGAATGCTTCTGAAAAAGAGCCATGTAGCTCAGTGGGCCTTAACTGGTCAAATAAAAAAAATTGTTTATAGTTAAAACAGAACTGTTCCCCGTGCGACCTTTAACGGCCTGTTGGGGGCAAGTGCTGTTGGTGGGCACCTGCGGTGGACGTCATGAACCACGAAGCATTACCACCGGCCACGTTCGTCTCTGATGATTATACACAGCACCAGCTACGTAGAGGTGGCCCACAACTGATTCAGATATCGCTTGGGGAAGACGTTATTAACACACTGCTTTAAAACCCACCCTGAATGATCGAGCGTGATAATTATTGTTGTGGCCTAGTTCACACTGGTTTACGTCCACGATTGCCATCCACTAGAGACTGTTTTGATACTTAAAATAATCAACATCCTTTAAAACAGGCAAAGACCACCGTGTGACCTTTATTACTCATACAAACAAGATTTGTAAAACATTAGCTGCAATCTGAGGTGTTCTTGAATGTGGCTTACAGCGACAATTGTATTGCCTTTTGACCATATTACCTGGAATGTGCCCCATCTCCTCAGACCTCGGAAACAAAGCAGCAAGACTCAGCCTGGATAGTGCTTCAATGGGGCACCAACCGTGCATAGCGGGCGTTATTGGCTGCTGCGTGACTACGTGGCCAGCAGCAGAGGGCAGTGCAGATTCATATATAGTTGGACTGTACTTCTATGCTCCGACATCTACTTCACCATGCCACACTGACCCTCGCAGTAGAGTACGATTCAATAACCCCCTCCCACGACTCGTACGGCGTGGAGAGGGGCCCTCATCCAGCAGTGGATCCACCAGCCCAGAACGGGCGTGCGCCGACATGCTTTTCCTCTGCCGGGCAAAGCAAGGGGGAACGTACGCTGCAGCAGAGGCACGGTCTGGCCGCCGCCAATGGTGAAACTTCGCGCGTGAACGCGGAAACATTTTTAAAAGCGCTTAGCGCTCCCGCTCTGGAATTGGTCCTGCTAAACAGATAACCCTCGCGTGGCTCCGGTCCCAGCGTCTTCGCCTAAGCCGCTACTCCGGTGGGCGGGCGGGCGGGCGGGCGGGCGGGCGGGCGACTTCCCGGTGTCGTTTTGCACATCTTCGAAATAAATCAGCGCCGCATGCTTCCCTGGGTCTTCCCCCCACCCCGTAGAAAGGGGGCTAGTGATTTATAGTTCCCTTGAAAGGCGAACCCCCCCCCCCCCCCCCGTTTGTAAGCGCAAAAATAACGGCCGAGAAACCCTGGGACGTCCCCTTTGTGCGAGATCCGTGCGTCGTCGTTCATACATCACCGGCGTACAGAGGCACTCGAGAGTTTTCTTTCACTGCGCCAGGCAATCGCCACTAATTACTCGTGTGTGTGTGCCACTGCTGCGTACAGTTCGAGCAGTACCTATTACCCCATAACCTAATTCTGACCCACGATGCTAACTCCTCACCCGTTCTCATACTCCTGTCACCAACCCTGAGCATCACTCTAAAACTAACTGCTAATCCCTAAACGGACCCCTGCGCACATTCCGCACACCCAAATATATTTTTTTTCAGCGTGACATCGTTGTGCATTCACGTGCCATTTATAGTCCGCAATTCTAGATCAAAAGTTATCGTTAAAATACAACTTTGTTCCCATGCAACAACCTTAAGGGGGATCCTACAACGGCTTTCTGAATGTCATTGCTGCACAGCCCACCGCGGGCACCGACCTATAAAACCATCGACGCCTGCTGACCGCCGTTAAGATGTGAGCGTCGTAACGGAGACCCGTCTCTGCAGAGGCATTGTGAGATGGGGCATCGCAGTGCACCGCTGGGCCATAAACACTACATCATTGGTTAAACAGGAATACGGCCGATTATTATTATATCCAGAAGTAGACTAAAGGGATTTCTCGAAAGCGGAATGTCTTCCTGTTCACGAGCCAATTATAACGGAGGTAAATCGCTCGTCCCCCTAGAACACGTGTTTAAAAGAAGATCCGCGCAGCGGAAATGTCTATTAATTCAGGAGAGAGCTGCACGCTTGTCACTGTGATTTGATCGCAATATTTAACGTATTTTTTTTCCCCTCTCTCCCTCCCGGCTCTGCCAATTTTCGGAGCCAAATTCAATTCTCTGACGTGCGGAGGCGTAGGGGTCGGGCGCGTGCGAACTCTGCGTTTCACACCAAGAAAAGGAACCAAAAAATGCGGAGAGAATAACAATATGAAGTAGAAAAAATGCAGTATAAATCAGAATGAAACATGATGTTCATGATTACCGGGTAATAAGCGAGCCCCGTAGGATGAAAACGAAGGGAGTGAGAGCGAAGACAGACGGGTTACATGGCCAGAACAAAAGAGAGCAGTGGTGCAGGAAAGGGGGCGGCAGTGATGAAAACGGGTGGCAATGGGGAAAGGAGTGGGTGATGAAGGGGGCAACTGTCTGGAGAGTTAGCATCCATGTAACAATGGGAGTCAGTGTGGAAAGAGGGCATCAATAAAGGGGCATACGACGGACAAGGGGGGCGGCAATGATGATCGAGCAAGGGCCACTGTAAAGGGAGCCTGTATGTGTGTACGTATAACTTATTTTGCACCGTACATAGCCAACCGTGCTAATCGGAGGTGCGGGGGGGGGGAAGGACAACAAATTAAACGCAAAAGAGCAATTCTAAAGAAATTAGTTTTCCATCTAGATGATTTAAAGGTGCATAGCTCCAGTGCCTTCCTAATATCGGAAGGAAGAGCGTTCCAGATGAAAGCGCGCGATGCGGTGACCGTCTTTGTTCGATGGCCAGCCAAACGCCGCTGCCGCGTGGATGATGACCGGAGCTCATGTGATTGTTTATGCTCCTTGATTAGATCAGCGAGGTATCGTGATCCATTTTGTGGCAAGCACTTTGTGTGTAATGAATGCAACATATCACGTATTCATTCGGCAACCGGCTGCAGTGGAGACGCAGGGGCCGGCAGCAGCAGGTGCCGGCTCCTTGGCGAAGATAAACAAATCCACTGGCACAAGGGTGGCCTTCGCATCGCGGTCAACCTGCCCAATTAATCACGGACCCTCCCCCCAAACTCCCCGGCTCAAAAAAAAGACACTTCACCGATAAGAGCTATGGGCCCCCGGTCACAGAGTCGGCGAAGCTCAAGGGCCGAACGCCAACGCTGCTCGGCGTGCTTGCGTTCGGTTCTTCCCCCGCTCGACGAGCGATGGCAGCGGTATCGCTGTCGTGCGGGGAGGCAGTGCAACTGAAATGGGGGGGATCACGGGCCAGAAGGGTCCGGGTTCCAAGCAATGAATAGCCCCCTCCCCCGCCCCCACTTACCACCCCCACTTACCCCCCTCCCCCCCCCCGCTTCCCCCGCCGCCCATTTCAGAAGTTCGCGTGATGGTTTATGCTCGTCGACGAGATCGGAAAGGGATTGTGGTTCACTTGTGGCAAGCACTTTGTGTGACCTTCCAAAATATTCGTTCAGCTAAGCCACTGACAGGAGCATAGATGAGCAGGTGCGTATGCCAGCGTGTACCACGTGTTGGTAAATACATGTAAAGAAAATGCACACGCGCATGCTGCTTTTAAAATGCACGTATGGGACATCGGAAATGAATGTTTTCTCAGTGGCGTATAAACTGCCTATGACCACAATCACCTGGGATGCGCCCAATCGAATCAGATCTAGGAGAACGTATCAGTGTTGAGCCTGCACAGTGCTTCGATGGGTGACCACAATGCACGCCAGGTGACTCTTGCTGCTCCCCACTTTCACTCAACCCGCACTGACCAGCGTGGTGAAGTATGGTCAAATAACATCATGATCCGCATGGCATGGGCAAGAGGTCTGCCAGTCATTGTGGATTGTCAGCAGGACTCTACATGTAGAAAGAAGAGTTGCCACCCACTGCTCCTATACAAATGGTAAAAATCTTAAAAGTGAAATCGCTAAAGCCAGCCCTTTCTCTGAGGGGCTCTGATCTCAAGGCACTGTTGGTCAAAGGGCAACATTCCCCTTAGTACTTTTCCACAACTTCAGGCAACCGGGGGTTGCTTTGACAGGGCTCAGAAGTGAGCTCTCCGGAAAGTTTGCTGGCCGTGTTCCCCGACACGGTGCATTACGGCCCCCAGAGACACACAGGCCCATGGCGTGAACCCAGGACCTCGGCAGCGCTGGCTCAGCACCCCCAGCGTGATACATTAGCCCCCTGAGGCTGCCTTGCCTCCTCCGTCGAGGCACAACTGGAGCTTCTCCATCCCCCATCCCGCCCCGGCCCGGAACCCGTGACTTCCAGAGCGGCTTTGGTCGAGTCACGGCGGTGAAACGGCCGGCGGCGTCGCGTCATGCAGCGCCTGCGCTAAGCGAGGCGTGGCGAGCACGCGCGGGGAGATGCAGCGAGTCCACCACGAACCTGGGCCATGACATCAAGGGGTTTAGTTCTGCCATGGAGAGGAGTTGAACCCCAACGCCGACACGTTACGCAGGCCGATGCCTATGTCCAACATCACCGTGAACTGCCCGGCGGAATCTCGTCCGATTTTGACAACTAAGCACTACTGAGCCTGTTTTGTACTTGGATGGGAGGACTGCCTGGAAATACCAGGTGTTGTAGGCTTGGGCTATAAAGTTCTCAGTACAGCAATGTGTTTTCTTCAATCTATCTGTGCGGAGCATAAAGTGGTGGGACCTGCATGACTGCACCGTGGGGTTATGATCACGAGAAGAAAAAAATTACTACAATTTTTTTTTCCCTCTAATATCTTTGCAATTATTCCTAAAATTTCGTCTGAGAAAACAGCCCGCAGGAGGGGGGATATCTCAATGCTACATCCGAAATCCTTTCAAGTGAACTCTGGAAACGCAGAAATTTGTGACTGGAGTTCATCGGAGCGGATCGCCTCTCACAGAGCCTCGTGAGCGTGCAGCGTTTGGGGCAAGGCGAGGGGAGTGACCGTCTGCATGCCACTTGCCTGCTTGAAGCTGCCGGTTCATGCGCGGGGATTTTAAACGCTTTCGTGAAAGCGCACAATACATGACCAAGCAGTTGCAGCTGTACAAACCCATCGCAGCATCCTAAAGCACGACGAAACTCTTGCTGTATGAGCTATTTATTTTAAAATGTCAAAAAATCCAGGACATTATAACACAAACATGTCCCAGCGAGACTGCAGTGCCTAGTTTTGATAACAATTAAAATGCCTCTGTAAAACTGGTCTGGGTAGATTTCTAAACGACGCGCTCAGACGTGTCCCAATGAGCTCATTAAATGAATTTGCTCAATTCGATCTGAGACACTGTTTTCTTTCCCTGATTGCCCCCTGGGGCAAAGACGTCTTTGCACAATAACAGAACCCCATGCAGGAGCTTGCGACCACACAATGACTTGCTTTAGGGTCAACGGGGCCCCAACGATGGCAACCGGCGCATTTACTCACGGAAATACAAGTGAAATAACGTAAGGCCTACTCTACGTGCACGTCACAGTCACATCTCAAATCATGTTAAAATATAGGGTCAGAGTTTGGGCTAGGATTCCGTGAGAAGTTAAAGAGTCTGGACTCGAGTTGCGAGTTATAATGGAGCGCGTCGCTTTTTCTGCGTAAAGGAGGCCCTCCTGGAGTGACAATGAAGTGTCCGATTTCACGCGGTGGACACCTGCCTTGATATCCATCCCGCGGACGCCCGGAGGCTGAGATTTGTAGCCGTTTAAATGTGCCCGAGCGCGTGCCGCACGCACGTTTAGCCGCGGGCGGCGAAGGTGCCGGTTGGCGGCCGGCGCGGGCTTTTGGTGCAGGTGGGGGGGGAGGAGCGTGGTGGCGGGGGGGGGCAGGATTCATTAAATCGCGCGCACGGAAAATAAACGAGGGCCAATTTGCGGTCGTCTGCGTCGGCAAGAATTCAACTTGGCCCGGCGCGCGCCGGTACGTTTGCGGGTCGCCTGCCAAAGACAATCCGCGGCTCTGCCGCGGCAGGGCGCCAATCACGGAGCGCCGGCGAACACAGATGACTATCGGCAAGGTGGCATTTGAAGTCCTCGCACTGGAGCGTGACTCAAGATTTAATTTCAAGTGGTCAAAGGAAGGCGAGAGCACGACAGAAAGAGAAAAAACTTTTATCGGAGAAATCTGTGGGGGAAATTTAATCCGACTTGATCTCAAGAGTTAGAGGGAGAGGGTGCGATAATAAAAACTGTGGAATTTTACAACCACCGTGGTCGTAGCTGCAGGATGACAATGGGTGCACCACCACTAACTCACTCGTTTGCTCGCTCACTCACTTACTCAATAATTTACTCATCAATTCACCCGCTCACCAAACTCGCAGTGATCACCCGAAGGGCGTTCGCTGTTCGGTGCAAACGCAAAAGCAATTTCTCTCCTCTTCCAAACACCGCTTGTTCCGTCCCCCGCCCCCAACCCTTCCTACTTCAGGCGAGCCTCTCTCAACATGGGCACAACAAACAAACGTGCGTGCAATTTCTGCCACTCTTTTGCTTTTGCTTTGCCGGAAAGTTATTAGTGGCGCTTGCAGTCCACATGTGGGAATGAGAAAGAGGCAGAGGTCTGGATCGCTCAGGCTGGGGCCCACGTCAGGTGCGGGCCCCGGCAGAAACGTTAATGCGAAAAGCATGCGGAGCCATCAATCATGAGAAAAACTCAATTGGACGCACCCCGGACCGAGGTGTCCTGGGAATTACAACATGGATCACTGAGGACTGGGAAATGAACTCCGATACGGGGCTCTTCATGTAATAAAATCATTATGATTAGACAGATGGAGTTTCCACCGGCGCTCACAAAGACAAAGATCCCCCGTATAGCCTTGACAGAATGTTGGGGCAAGTGCTGTAAGCGAGCACCTATGAAGGCCGGCAAGCATACGAGGGGGTGGGTGGCGAACACCACACTCTTTGTCTCCCCTGTGGTGATATTTACAAAACCGCACCAGGTACTTATTTGAGGCTGAGTCAACCTAGGGGAGGCCCAGGACCGGTTCAAACAATCGTCACTGGTGTTGTTGGCCGTGAGCGGGAATCGAACTCGGATCGCCAAGTTATTATCACAGCCCACTAACCACTACACTACCGCTCCCCACAGACGCTTACACACACGCACATGTGCTCACTCTCTCGTACTGCACGCACTCGCTCATACTGTATGTGCACGCGTACTCGGGGAAGAGTTGGGGACGCGCGCTTTGTTGTGGAATGAAATATGAATGTTCGGGGGAATCGTTTTACGAGCGTTTCAGTGAGACAATGATACACGATTCCCAAGAGGGCAATGGTGAGATTAGAGACGGGAAAGAAAAACGAAGATAATACGATAAATTAAGAATAATAATCGTGCGACATACACTTATGTCATTCATTCATGCGTGGATTGAATCGTAACATTTTAAAAACCAAACAAAAGCCCAGGAAGATGCAATGCCGTGTACCCTTTGCAAGTGACGAATGTGTTCGCTTTTTATTTCGACAAATAAGATATATGTAGTTTTAAATATATAAACAATGTATAACCCGGTGTTGCAAAATGTCGACTTTGTTTTAGAATAAAAATAATAATATCGAGAGCTGAGGCACTGCATATGGAAGAGAAATACATGAAACAACAATAGGTTTTATTTTACTCAGGAAACCCTCATTAATGATTAAGATTCATTTTCAAAGAGTCTGGCTTTAGCATGATTGACCAATTCTGTTTTGGAGTAATTTTATGTGCACGGGATGGCATGAGCGCCAATGTGAATGCAGGGTTGCCTAAAACTCAAATTCCACACTGACATTTGAAGCTCAGGTTGCTTCTTAAAACCTCAGTGGGCTTTGCCTGATAGGATGGGGATGGTTGAGTTTCATTTGTATATTTGTGGGTGATTTGTTGAACTATCTTGTAATTTGCACTAATATATCGTGTTGTTGTACTGTTTGTTATTGTAAAGTTCTTACCCGCCCCTACAGGACATCAGTGAAAAAGAGCTTTACAGCTCAGCGGATTTCTCCTGCAGTATAAATAAATATTCTGATTTGGAACCCACTCGTTGCCTGGCAAGTGTGGGGCTCTCAGACAGCCTTCATCTTTGTAAGATCCACCAACCCCACCTTCGAGTCTCAGTATTATTTAGGTGCCATCCAATGTGCCGCCTCTACAAATGTTAGGCACCTACAAAATATACACAGAAATATAACCAATATATAACTTGTAGAATAATGAGGCCTAAAGTGAAACTTGGACTAATTTCTTAAAACCGAATCACTCCTGTGTCTACCCCACTGTTGACAGACTTTTGAGTCTTATCTCCACGTATAAGTCTTTTTTATATGGATGTTTTTCCCACAAGAGAACCACTCCCTATAAAGCATTTGGCCAAACGGCACAATGCAAAGCCCTCGTGCCAAAGTCTCACTGTAAAATCGTCCTTACACACTCAAGATAAATAAAAGGCCTGTCGTGATGAATTTATGTTGCACAGGCCATGTCTGCACTGCCTGGGGTCGCCTTAGGGCGATTGGAGTGATCTCCACGTCAGGTGAGCACCTTCAACAACCCACACCATCCACTACGGTGAAGTACGGTCACACATATACATTTCCCCCCCCAATGGTTGTGCAGGCTTAAACTCAGTCCTCAAGTCAGTTACAACTCTCTATATACGTATGTTGAATTTCTTTCGCACCGTGCGTAGCCAACCGTGCTAATCGGAGGTGCGGACAACTCTGATGTCATGAACCACGACAACGGCCGCAAGGCGGTTGGAATAAGCGACATTCGGAGAGCACATCCAACGCGGAGGTGCAACGTGGGTGCATTTGAGATTAGAAGTTGGGGTCGGTGGTTCATGCAGGGATGGGAGGCCTGTCTGAGAGCCCCATTTGCAGGCTGGCAAGTGGGTCACTGACAAATCTTTATATTTGAACTGTATTTCATAATTCGAGGTGCTAGGTTTGAGTTTTTTAAATGTTTTATTCCTTACACGGATGATCCCATGTAGCCAATTGCCTGGATATTTTACAAAGGAGATCCGTGGTGTGTGAGCACAACAGCAACAACAAAATAAGGACAAAAACGTCAACATTGCAGAGGATGAGTACAGGGTCCCGAAAGAATATTGCATGACTAACAAAGGGGATACTTGACAGTCAAAAACTAAACAATCGCCGATCGAAAAAAAACCAGTCCAAATATGATGACAGAAAGCGGTGCTCGAAAAAGGTTAGGTACAGGTGCAATAAGGTGGACTGTTACATCGCAACAAAACACCATGAGATACGATACCGGCTTGAGCAGGCCTTCATCAAGCAGCAGATGGCCCGTGGATAACGATGATAATGATAATGATGCGCACGCATGTCCACTCACCCAGCAGGCGCGAGTCGGTCTCCCGCTCCTCGGAGTCGCCGGTCTCAGGCGCTGTCCCCCCGTCTCCGTCCGTGCGGCCGCTCCGCTCGTCCGCCCTCTGCAGGTGACCCACGAGCCGTGACAGCAGCGAGACGGCCGACAGGTGCGCAGGCGCGGCAGCGGCGGCGGCGTCGCCATCCTCACCGCCGTAGTCGTCGCCGGGCGTCGGGCTACAGGGTCCCGGCTCCTCCGGGACCGCATGCTCCGGCAAGGGCAGGCGGCCGATCAGCGTCGCCTCCATCAGGCACTGCTGGGAGGGGGGCGCAGGGGGACGCGAGGTTGATCTCTGCCGTGGGTTTTCACGGCCGTGCTGCGTAGCTCCCCCGATGTGTTTCTGGGTGTGTACTGAATCAGAATCGGAATTTTTACTTAGACTGGAGAAATCCGATGAGCTATAAAGCTCTTTTTTTGCAGATGTCCAGTAGGGGCGGGTCATGAAGTTACAACAACAAACAATACAAAAACACGATAGGCGTGCAAAGTATAGGAAAGATAACAAAATCACTCAAACTAAATAGATAAATAGATGAAGTATATAAGCTAAAATTACATAAGTACACCAATTCCCAAGCTTGGGCAAGGCAGCAAAACAACAGCAAAAAGAGTCCCAGACCACACCAAGATAACACACAGTCCCCGAATAAAAAATTGCACATTAAAATACAACTATCGATTTATGGGTAAGGATGACGGTTACAAATCACATTCACGAATGCAGAAGTATCTGGCACTACCGCGCGCCGGGTGGCACAATGTCCACATGCCGGGAGTTTCTTTATGAACTCAAGCGGTTAGTCCGCCGCATTCGCAACCTACCAACCCAAGTTCAATTACCGGCCGCGGCTAACAACAGTGTGGTGAAGCATGGTCACACAAACCCCATGACTGACATGACATATAAGGAGGCTATTTCCAGAGTGGATTGACAAAGGCTGGTGTATCACGATTATTAATTACGTATAAAAATTTAGGTGGCGAAATGTCTCTATTTCTATATTTGTACGCTGCTCCTTTTATTTATCTTATCCATTTTTACGTGAATCGTCTCCTGCCTCAACATTCGCAGCTTAAGGCATCGCACGTCAGGTGTGACTGCACTGTTGTATTAATGTCACGTGATCTGTTTACAGACTGATTGCCACTGACTAAATAAACTGCTCATCGGCAGTCACAGAATGTTTTGTTTAACTATTCATTCACCGCAAACGGTGCGCGGCCTTCCTTTTCTAGGAAAGAAAAATACATTTTAATAAGTTGAAGAAAAACACTCACCATTCTATGCCAATTATACAAATACAACATGTGGTATTATTCAAGAGAAGTAAAAAAAAAATATACGTACATTTTTATTCGTATTGTGCTTAAGGGGTGTGATTTTTTTTTGCCTAGCTTCATAAGTGAGATGGGTTTGTTTTGTTGTTTCGAATTAAGTGAGCCAGCTGTCATTTGCGCTATCACTCAAGCAGAGCCCAAACACTCAGGGAAATTTGCGAAGACCAAGCCGGAATGATCATCTCACCAACACCGACTCCGTTCCACGCTTAAACGCAATCCACGCTAGAGCTTTTTTTGGCATGCGCTGTGGCTGCGAGAGCTGCAGAATGGTAGGTAGGCAATTCAAATAAACACACTGCCAAATTTACAAAAACACGCTCCATGAAATGAAACTAAATCAATCTCGTAGCCACACGGAGCTCCCATATTTCTGCGCAATTTGACGAGAGGGTCTCCCGCTGCACTTTGACACCTGCCCAATGTCTTGCCGCTGTGGTCGCGGGAAAAAAAAACAGCGGGTCCTGAGAAAAACAAGAAATGTCATTCTCTCTCTCTCTCTGGGACAGAAACTAAAAAGCACAGGGCAGGAGAGAGAGGACAGCGGACAAGAGAAGATGGATCGTAGTTAATACAGGCCCGGCATACCAAGTGGCATTCTGATCTCCAAAAGCTCTTTCGAATTATTGCTATTCACCAGACATGAAAGGTCAGGAAAGTCTGCAACGGGCATCGTGAATAAATGGAGAGGCAATGTGCACGCGTCGCTGTTTATTCCATAACGGAAGGGGAAGAAAATGGATTAGCGGGGCCGCATAATGAGCGCCTTAATGCGTTAATTAAAAAAGCAAGGTTGAATGGAAAACATTTCCTATTGTCGGCGCGGTGGGAAGCGGTGGGAAGCTGATCGAGGTAGCCAAACGGAAGAGGGGCTCAGACGCGCCACAGTACACACCGAGGTCGTCGGTTTTTCGTCATTCTTCAAGAGAGAAACGCTCCCTGCGATTCCCGCAACGCCGCACTCCGGAGGTTTAACTCACACGGGCCATTCATCAGGCCTCGTGATCTATGGCACTATTAGTAACCCGTTGTCGAAAAACTGTCCCAGTTAAGCCTTAAAATATCTAAAGCAGACAGGGCCGGGTCCTGGGGATTGTAAAAGCAGGGAGAGGATGGGAGAATTTTGAGCAAGGAGCAGGGGGGTGGGGGTTGTTTGATAATCGCTGCGTCCCAGGGTCATCAAACAGTGGGGCAGATTTGAGGACACGATTGGTGGTTAATACAACGATGATTTTCACAGAGTGTGTGAAAGGATTGGGGCCAGCACACAGGCAGTGGCCTCTATGGCCCCCAGGGCAACGATGCTGAGGTGGAGGCCATGAAGCACCACCTGTAACCAAACTTCCTCCTAGTAAATGCAGATGCCCCTCATCAACACCCACATAGACCCATTAAAAGAAAACATTCTGGTCCAGATTCTCATATCAGAGGGGCATAGGAAGATTTAAGAGTTTAAATGCGGTCGTAGCATTTGAACAAATCACCAGTCAGAGTTAACCCTGGATAGTGCTTGAATGGAAGACCACGGTTGGCTACGTACGGCGCGGAAGAAGTTCAACATAAACTCAACTATAATTTTTTTTCTTTTACCAGGTAAGGGCCCACTGAACCACGTAGCTCTTTTTTAGAAGCGACCTGCCTATCACAAATGAAAGCTCAACGAATTGGCTTATCATGTGGACATTTATCGCAACCGAATACTCTAAACGCATATTTCTAAATGTGGAGGGAAAAACCGAGGACCTGGAAAAAAATCCACGAGATCATGCGGAGAACACACAAAACTCCTAATATACAGGCGTCAGGGTCAGGATCGAATCCACGACCTCCTGCATACCAGGCAAGGTAGTTAACATACATACACACACACACATCCATCAATAACAGCTGACAACTGTGCGCCTCGCTGGCGGGGCACACTTGGGACGCTGCGAGTTCCAGGGGGTCGAGCGATGCGGTTACGACGACCCGTGCCTGGCCCCGGGCACAGATAAGGCAGCGCCAGACGCCTGTCGTGGACCTTGACAGCGGTTTATTCGCAGTTAACGAAGCCTCGGAAATTACAAGCAGTGGTCTGGGCGGGTAGCTGAAAGCATTCGGCCAAGATGGCCATTCCCGGCTCGCGTTCCCAGCGCGGTTTAAAATCTTGGCTATTATGTAAGAAAAATGCGTGTCACGTGACCCCCACCCCGCCCCTATCCCCTATTTATCATGGGACAATTATTATGATCAGTTTGGCTGTGCGTGGAGCCTTGTGCCTCAGCACAGGGTGTCCTTGCACCTTTGCTGTAATTTGGTTCACGCTGAATACATTGAATATGTTGATCTGGACGATGTGCTGAGGCGGCCTGCTCTAACGAACGTTATCGCAGGGTATTTAACGTGAATATCCTTACCCAGGTCAGCTTGCTTTGGTAATGTTGACCTACGGGATTAACTGGGCACCTCCGGTGACGAGATGTTAACCACCTCGCCTGGTATGCAGGAGGTCGTAGGTTCGATCGGGACCCTGATATTTGTATATTTTGAGTTTGCATGTTCTCCACGTGGTAGCATGCGTTTTTTTTTTTTTATTCGGGTCCTCCAGTTTTTCCATCCACAATTTAGAAACATGTTTTTAGAGTATTTGGCTACCATTTCTAGCCAGGTCGCTTCTGAATAAGAGCTATACAGCTGAGTCGGCCTTACCTGGTAAATACAAATCTTAGTTTAGTTTAACTGGTGAATTCAGGTTTCAAAGTGCTAAACCCTTGCAACTGTCCAGCTTGTTTGACAGTGTGTATTGTGCTGAGCTGTCCAGATGTGAGTGTCTGTGTGTGTCTTTGCCTTTGTGACGCAGTGGTTAAACCACAGCGTTAAAAATACATCGATTTGAATCTGATTCCTGGCCAAGGCTAACTAACATCAGTGGCCAGCGATATGTGAACCACTTCTGGGCATCCTCTATGGTGACTCAGCCTTAAATGAGTGGGTGCTGCAGTGTATAAACATTCTAGATTTGAACTTTTCGTGACTGCAAGGATCCATACTCTTTGGTTCTTTCGGTAAAGTCACGTAGGTAAAAAAATGATAAAAATTGATAAAAATTAAATCACGACGTTTCGGGCGCAACACAAGCGCCCGTCATCACATGGGACCACCACAGCAAGAAACAACTGCAGCATCCACCCATTCCAGCTGTTGTTTCTAGCTGTGGTGGTCCCCCACTCCAGCTGTGGTGGTCCCCCACTCCAGCTGTGGTGGTCCCCCACTCCAGCTGTGGTGGTCACACGCCAGCTGTGGTGGTCCCACTCCAGCTGTGGTGGTCCCCCACTCCAGCTGTGGTGGTCCCACTCCAGCTGTGGTGGTCCCACGCCAGCTGTGGTGGTCCCACTCCAGCTGTGGTGGTCCCACTCCAGCTGTGGTGGTCCCACGCCAGCTGTGGTGGTCCCACTCCAGCTGTGGTGGTCCCACTCCAGCTGTGGTGGTCCCCCACTACAGCTGTGGTGGTCCCACTCCAGCTGTGGTGGTCCCCCACTCCAGCTGTGGTAGTCCCACTCCAGCTGTGGTGGTCCCACTCCAGCTGTGGTGGTACCCCACTCCAGCTGTGGTGGTCCCACTCCAGCTGTGGTGGTCACACGCCAGCTGTGGTGGTCCCACTCCAGCTGTGGTGGTCCCCCACTCCAGCTGTGGTGGTCCCACTCCAGCTGTGGTAGTCCCACTCCAGCTGTGGTGGTCCCACGCCAGCTGTGGTGGTCCCCCACTCCAGCTATGGTCCCCCACTCCAGCTGTGGTCCCCCGCCAGCTGTGGTGGTTCCACGCCAGCTGTGGTGGTCCCACTCCAGCTGTGGTGGTCCCACGCCAGCTGTGGTGGTCCCACTCCAGCTGTGGTGGTCCCACTCCAGCTGTGGTGGTCCCCCACTCCAGCTGTGATGGTCC